CCCTTCTCTGGTTTTGCGTGGGCCCTCTTGGAAACCGATCGTGTAATCTTGGGGCCACATTGGAGGCCGTCGAAAGAGTGACGAGCCGGTGCCAAGTAGCACTGTCCGTCTGGAACCCGAAATCTAGCATTCTGGATTCCTTTTCGGACGTTATTGGGGAGCTTCTCGGTGCTCATGAGGCCTTGTTGGACCTTCCCTGGGCCTTTTTCACAATTTCAATGTTTTCTATTGGCGCGTTCCGCGGCAAACCAATTCAGACTCGATGTTCCTTTACGTCCCCCGTGGGGCCAATACATCAAGACAAATTTGCTCAGGATGGCCCGTCTGGATCTCCCCTCGGCGCCACTGATAGGGAAGGTTGGCCAGTGAGGTCCCCGCTTCGGTGTTGGGCTGGTTTGGGTCCCGGTGCGGGGTGCGATGGCAAGTGAGGCCCCCGCTGTGAGCGGTGGTGGCCTAGGTCCAAACCGCCAGGTGTGGCTTGCCGCGTCTCCGTTGGTCATGGCGTCGATGCATTCGAGTTGAGCTTGCAGGCCGCACTGAACGCGGGCACGTTTGGCTTGAATGCCCTCTGTCGCCGCCAGCCCGCATCAAGTAGGGCGTTCAAGACGCGCCGGCGTAGTCAAGACGAAACTCGCGCCCACGCCTGGGTAGTCAAAAAGCGGGAGGACCGCGGAGGGATCGCGCATTCGAGCAGTCGAGACTCGGAGGGATCGCGCATGCGGCGCGGAGCGGCCGCGCAGTCAGGTAGTCGGTTCGAGCGGGCGACGCGCCCCCGTGGTCGAATCAAAGGGGGGCAGGCAGGTCGGGCCATCGCCTCGGTGATGCGCCTGCTTTTCTCTGGGAGCACCCGCCCTCGGCGCCGACCCTGGACTCGCTGCCCACCGGGCCCCGCGCGCGCTCCGCTCTGGCGACTGACGTCTGCGCCCCCCTGGTGTCCGCGCGCGCTCGCACCTGCGCCCCGCGACGCTCTGCGCCCGCCGACGCCTGCGCCCGCGGGGCCATCGGGCGCCCGCGGGGGCCTGCGCCCGACGACGCGAGAGCCTGCCGAAGACGTCGCCCGCGGATGCCTGCGCCCACCAGCGCACGCGCCCCATAACTGGCGCGCCCGGCGGAAGTCTGCGACCTCTGAAGACGGGGCTCGCCGAGCCCCGCGCCCGCCGACGCCGGCGCCCGCAGAGGTTTGCGCCCGCTGGGCGTTGCCTCCGCTGAAGTCTGCGCCCGCTGGCGTCTGCGATTGCCGACGCTGTTGCCCTTTGGGAATCCGCTCCGCTGAAGTCCGCGCTCGCTGCGGCCCGCGCGCGCTGGGTCCCCGCGCTCGCTGAAGCCCGCGCCCGCTTGAAGCGCGCGCCCGCCGAGGTCCGCGCTCAGTGGGTGCAGTCTGCGCCCGCTGCCAATTCTGGCTGGGTCGATTTGGCGTGGGGCTCTTCGAAAAACAGCCGGCAGTTCCGCGGCTTCGGTCGTCGGCCACGCGGTCCGCGTCTCCCGCAAAATTCATCCTCCTCCGACGTTCTCCGTGCTGGTCCCTGCTGTTGCCCCTGCGTGTCCATCCCTGCCCTGCCCCTTTTTTGTCCGCTGACGCACCCGCTTCAACCACTCGTGCTTCACGTTTGCGCCTCCTTTTTTCGCGTTCGCGCTGGACTGCGGCCGCAAGCGGTGCAGCTGGAGGCGCGCGCACCTCGGCGCACGCGTGCTCGGCGAGGGCTCGAGCGGCACGCGCTGCGCGGCCTGCCCGCAAAGCGGCCGCGTCGCCGTGCTCGGGCCCACCCATCCTGAGCTCCCACCCATCCCGTGCAGGCTTCCGGAGGGAACAAAAGCACACAGACACAATTAATCGTCGATTCCCCAGAAAAACATATAAGAAAATATGGGAAGTTAGGGGGGAAGACAAAAACCCAGAAGATGTAGGAAAATGTGGGGAATCTTGTTATTCGTGTCTATTTATTTGTGTGTCCCAGGGCCTCTTCATGGTTTTGATGCGAGCTTCCATCCATCCCCGAGTGCAGCCCGTGCGTCGCATCGAGATTCGCCTCAGAGTTGGTTTCCGGCGCCGTTTGTGGCGACCAAGCGGGGGCCATCGCCGCAGAGGTGAATGTGCCTCCTCCTTTCCAGATCTGACCCCCCTGGCATCACCACCGATGGTCCACCCCGTCCGAGACCGCGCGGTTTCGCGAGCGGGGCCCTATCGCCGATCTATCGGCGATGCTATGCCGATCCCAAGTCGATGCTTCACCCCCTGAGCCAGTCCCCTGTTCCAAGGGTCCCCCCCTTTTCTGCTGGGCATCCGCAGCACGGGCCGCCACAGTTTGAGAGTTCAGGGCCCGTTCCTTCAGGGCCCGCTTGAGATGCCAAGCGCGAACTGACAACGAACACCCATGATAATTTGAAATCGGGCATGTCCATCTACTGGAGACATATCCCAAAATAGTCAAACAACATAGTCTGGCGGCGATTGTTGTTAGTATCATGTTTGAATGTGTGTCGGACATGTTTTCAGCTTTCGCCCAAAATCCGCCTGTGGGAGGACATGCCCGACCTAGTGGTCATACGTCCTTCCGAATTCCTGGGAGGGGAATTCTAGGGGGGGGGTCTATGAGCGTGCGTTGATGGATGAGGGCCCCCGTTCGTTTGGGAGTCCTCTCGGGGTCCGACAACTCGCGCCCGGATTGATAGCGCCTTCATCGACTTGCCTTTTTCCTGGTCCTCCTCCCTATAGGTTTGAATCCGTGGTGTTCGTCGGTCAAACATGGAGGTTTGGATTCCATTCTTGGGATCCATACCAAACGCGTTTGCGCACGTCGACCAGGCGTTCCGTCACGGTGGTTGGCAATCCACGTTCTTGGCCGCGGTTGTTTCGCACTGCGGGGTGCGATGAAGACGACACGCCGGGAAACGCCACCGCCATCTCGCACCTGATCCGCACAACGCGGCGGGGGAAAAACAACACCTACGTGGAGTTATTTCTACATACGCAGAACGGAGCGCGAGGAGAAGGAGGACGGATCAGGGAAGAGGAGGGAAGGAAAGGGGAAGGGGGGGCGGAAGGACGATGATGAGGAGGCGCAGACTCAAAAGTCACCAACGATGTTGCAATTAACCTCCCCTCGAAGTTCCGTCTCCATAAGTCCCTACTGTGATCTGTTTTCTTTGAGGGAAGTGTCCCGCTTGAAGGCTACCGTGAAAAAATCCGTAGACGTGCCAACACACATTCTTGGAATCTCAACGCCGCGAGTCAGCGTGATTGTTGCGCCTTGACAGTCCCACATCCTGCCAAGACGCCATTTCTGGGGCACGTGCCACAAGTTTATCTGAAACGGCTGTAACTGCTGCAGACGAATGTGAGCGCCAACGCGAGAGACACGTCTTGAAAGTGAGCCGCCCCCCCCGTGTCACGCTTGCAAGCGTTAGGCGAGTGTGCGTGGCGTTGACGCGAGAGCTGCATTTTAAGAAAGGGCCCGCCCTCCTCCCCTGAAGCTCCTGCAAGCGCTCGGGCCGAATGGGCTGTCGCCGCTGGGGCGACAGCAGCACCGTGAACAAGGGCCCGCCCTCCACCCTTGAGGCTCTCGCGAGCACGTGAGGCGAATGCGCGCGGCGCTTAGGCGAGAGCCACCTGTTCGAAAAGAAGCCACCCTCTGTGTGAGAATACGCTGCAGTGTTGCATGCTTTTGAGCATGCGAGGAGCATCGTCTGAACGGCGAGGAGCTTGCATGCGAAACGCCCGGCCCGACCGAGGGGCACGTCTCGGGGCGCGACAGGGAAATTTCTTCCTGGAAGGAAGAAGAAGCGCGGTTGAGGAGGAGAACGAGTGGAAAGGGGGGATGTTGAGGAGAAGGATGTTGAGGAGAAGGAAAGGCGCGACAGGGAAAATTCTTCTTGGAAGGAAAAGGAAGCGCAGTTGGGGAGGAGAACGAGGGAAAGGGGGGACGTTGAGGAGAAGGAAGGGGGGATGAGCTAGTGATCGGGGGAGTGTGCTCACAGGGTTCCCAGATGGGCCACTGCAACTGGAGGGGGCCTCACTGTCCCAAGGCCTCGCCGATGCATCGGCGATGCGGTGGACTCCTCCGACCCCGTTTTGTTCTGGCCCCATGTGGGGTTTCTCCTAAGTTGGTGGCCCGAAGAGCATCGAGACAGGCCGATACCTCCTGCCTTTGCCGGTCGTCGGCGGTCCCGCGGGCCGTGCCGATCGTCCCGCTGCGCCGCGCCTCGGTGGTTCGGAGGGCCGCCGTAGGCGGCGGCGGGGGGCAGGGCTCCCCCTCTTTCCCCCTCCCCCTCTTTCCCCTCCCCCCTCCCCCCTCCCTCCCCCCTCCCCTCCCCCTCCCTCCCCCTCCCCCTCCCCTCCCCTCCCCCTCCCCCTTCCCCTGTCTCCTCCCCCTCCCCCTCCCCCCTTCCCCTACCCCCCTCCCCCTTGATCCAGCTTGTGTCCCCACTCGATCCCGCTCTCGTCCGCGGCCTGCCTCGGCGCAGGCAGCGCCTGCTGGGGCCCCGCTTCCGCCTCGGTCCTTCCGAGGAAGACCTCCCAGCCACGGGCCTCCTCACACCCCCCCTCCCCCCTCCCCCTTCCTCCTCCTCCTCCTCCTCCTCCTCCTCCTCCTCCTCCTCTTCCTCCCTCCTCCTCCTCCTCTCCTCCACCTCCTCCTCCTCCTCCTCCCTCCTCCTCCTCCTCCTCCTCCTCCTCCTCCTCCTCCTCCTCCTCCTCCCACTCCTCTCCTCCCCCTCCTCCCCCCTCCTCCTCCTCCTCCTCCTCCTCCTCCTCCTCCTCCTCCTCCTCCTCCTCTTCCTCCTCCTCCTCCTCCTCCTCCTCCTCCTCCTCCTCACCCCCCCCTCCCCCTCCTCCTCCTCCTCCTCCTCCTCCTCCTCCTCCTCCTCCTCCTCCTCCTCCTTCTCCCCTCCTCCTCCTCCTCCTCCCTCCTCCTCCTCCTCCTCCTCCTCCTCCCTCTCCCTCCCCCTCCTCCTCCTCTCCTCCTCCTCCTCCTCCTCCTCCTCCTCCTCCTCCTCCTCCTCCTCCTCCTCCCCCTCCTCCTCCTCCTCCTCGCCCACCCGGGGGCATGGCGCGGCGGCCGCACGCCGTGCCCGCCCCCGCGTCGGCGCTCCACGGCGCCGGCATGGGCGGCCTGGCGCGGTCGATGGGCATCCAGGCCGCGGCCCGCGCGGGGACGGCCGGGTCTCCACGCTGTTCCCGCCTCCCTCCTCGCCCTCCGCCTCGCCGTCCTCCTCGCCCTCCGCCTCGCCGTTCTCCTCGCCCTCCTCGCCCTCCTCGTCCTCCTCCTCGCCCTCCTCCTCGCCCCCCTCCTCGTCCTCCCCGCCCTCCTCCTCGCCCGCCTCCTCGCCCTCCCCGCCCCCCTCCTCGCCCTCCTCATCCTCCGCGCGGGCGGCCCTCGCTGTTCCCCATCTCCTCTTCGCCCTTCTTGCCCTCCTTGTTTTCGGGACCATCGGAATCGGTGCGGAGAGAATGGGCACAAAGACCGACAGCAGTTCCTGATCATGTTTGACAGGACTCGCCGTTGTCCCTTGAAGGCACAAAAGCGCCCGCCCAACAGCGGCCGCTGTTGATTTTGAACAACAGCTGTCGTTGTGCACTGTACCCGCATTCTTCGTACCCGTTTCGGGTGACCAATTTGTGGCGTTGGCTAAGCATACGCTTGTGGTTGACGCGTCCTGTCGGGAAATAGCGAAGCGTCGCACTGCCGACTTGGGCGTAGTGTGCAACATATTCTACGTTGCGGGGCCCGTTTTGCCCCTCTGTTCCTTCTCCTTCCCCTCCTCCTCGCCCTCTTCCTGCTCCTGCTCCAACTCCTCTCCTCGCTACATCTGGACATGCCAAATTCTACCCTCCTCTTCCCCCTGGCACTGTGCGGAAGAAATATGCAGCGTGTTGTTGTTTTACATGGCAGGTTCCAACGTGTTTATCGTTTTCGTTTTGTTTGTTTTCATGTGTTTGTTGTTGCACATCGATTGTGTTCGACGTGTCAGAATGTTGCGCCCGTTGCAGCGTGGGTCACATTTGCGGATCTCTTGGGCGCCTCCTATGGCCGCCTGTGCGCCTCTTGGGGCCCTCTTGCGGCGCCCTTGGGAGCGCTCTTGGTGCAATCTTGGAGGAGATCGATTCGTTCCATTTCGTTCCCCCCTCAGGAGCCCCAAACATGGCCTCTTGGGCCCTTCTTGGGACGCTCTGGGAGCGCTCTTGGGCGCTCCTTGGGCTCTCTTCAGCCTCTCGTGGGGCCCTCAGGGGTCCTTTTGGAGCTGTCTTGATGCCTCGGAAGGCTATCGGAAGCGAAAAGGCGAGAAGGTACACGTCATCGATTTTCCGTTGGTTCTTGTGAAGGATTTTGACCTCTTGGCGGCCTCCTGGGGGGCTCCGTGGCCACTCGGAGCCGTCGTGGAGCGGTTTGGGGGCTTCTTGGAGCCTCTTGGGAGCTATATGGAGCCATCTTGGGCTATCTTGGGCCGTCTTGGACGTCATCTTGGGCTCTCTGAGGCCCTACTGGTGCTGTCCTGGGCCATCTTAGATGCGCTGACCGCTCGCGGGGCGCCCCGTCCAGGTCCGGGAGAGGGGGCAGGGGGAGGAGTCAAGATACCCACCCACCCGCAACCCGTGTAGCTCACTCCAACCCGCCCTCCCAACACGTAAGTAACACCCGAGCCTGATTATTGTCAGCGGCCGTCTTTGGATGGACAGCTACTGAGAACCAAAGCCGACCCCAGGTGCGCGACGCTTGGGCGAGATGCGCCACGCGTGCGAGGGGCGCCGCGCGCGCCAGGCACCCCTGGGGCCCGAGCGTGCCAGGCACGATTGGTGCGCAAGATGCGCCACGTGCTCCGAGTGCGCCAGGTGTGCCGCGAACCCCAGCCGTGGCAGGTGCGCTACGTTCGGGACACGTGCAGAGTGCGTCAGGTGCGCCTGCGCACGTGACAGCACATATCGGGAAATATGTCGGCCCCCGCCAACCTTGTCGAACACCAATGTCCATCATTGTGTCTGGTGGGCTTGCGCACAGCAGGCCACGCGCCACCTCCCCCGCAGTCCCTGTCAAAAACCACTTGACAGTGATCGCGGGGTGGCCGCGCATGATCCAGATTTGGCCGCGCGGTGCTTCTTGTATTGTTTAATGTAAGGCATGGTAGCCCTGCGCACAGCAGGGAATATGCCGACACCCTGCCACACACAAAACAAAGTGCTCGCGGGCCGCACGAACATGACTCAAGACATTGTTTTTTGACGGACGGTGGGGGGGGACACATCGGGTTGGCCGCGCATGCTCCAAGTGTGAGGCAGAATGCGTTTCGTATTGCTTGTTGTCAGGGATGGTGGGGGGTGGCCCGCATGGGATCGGCATGGTCCTGGGTTGGCCGCCGGCCGGATGAGCGAGGGGGTGTATATTAATAGGTCATAGGAAACAATAACAAACCCATCCGCGAAGGGGAAAAGGGGGGTTGGAAGAGGTGCCTCTGTAGACCACCTACGCCCAGAGGGCTGGTTGGATTTCCAGGTGGGAGGGAGGGATGAGATGCAGGAGGGCTTGGAGGATGATAGACACATCGGAGGACGTGAATGCCGAGTACTGGGACAAGAAAGATACGAGAAGGGGTCGTGGAGGAGGAGGAGGAGGTGGAGGAGGGGTAGGAGGAGGAGGCGGAGGAGGTGGAGGAGGAGGAGGAGGAGGAGGGATGTTGCGATTGTGGATCTTCCCAGCCACCAGGAACCTGGAACCAGGAGTGGGAGATAATGAGCAGGAGGAGGAGGGATAGGAGAAACGAGGGGCGAGGAGGAAGAGGGAAGTGACATGGAATAGAAGAGGAGGGGCGTGGGTGAGGATCGAGGGAGGGCTGACAATCCGCCGCCCCCCCCGTCTCTCGCTCCCCATTCCCACTTCCTCGTCTCCCCATCAGCCCCCCTCTTTCTCCCCCCCTCCCCGTCCGCCGCTGGCCGTTCAAGTGCGGGTAATACTTATAGCGACGAGGAGAGGGAGGAGGAGGAAGGGAAGGAGGAGGAGGAGGAGGAGGAGGAGGAGGAGGAGGAGAAGAGGAGGAGGAGGAGAGAGGAGGAGGAGGGCGGAGGAAGAGAGGATGAGGAGGAGGAGGAGGAGGAGAGGAGGAGGAGGAGGGGGAGGGGGAGGGGAAGGGAAGGGGAGGGGGGAGGGGGGAGGAGGAGGAGGGGGAGCGGGAGGAGGAGCGAAGAGGAGGGTGGAGGGGAGAGGAGGAGGAGGAGGAGAGGGAGGAGGAGGAGGAGGAGGAGGAGAGGGAGGAGGAGGAGGAGGGCGGATGAGAGGAGGAGGAGGAGGAGGAGGAGAGGAGGAGGAGGAGGAGCAGGAGAAGCAGCAGGGGGAGGAGGGTGAGAGTACGAGGAGGAGGGGGAGGAGGAGCAGGATAAAGAGGATGAGGAGGAAAAGGAGGAGGAGGAGGAGAGCAGAAGGAAGTGGAGGAGGCGCGAGTGTGTCCCCCCGCCGAGAGAAGGAGGAGAGGGAGGAGGAGGAGGAGGAGGAGGAGGAGGAGGAGGAGGAGGAGGATACGGATGATGATGATTATGAGGAGCATGTCGAGGAGAGCGAGGAGGAAACAAGCGGAGACGGAGCAAGTAAGTTGTCGGTTCTTGAATGTTTACCATGCTTACCAAGAGGACGACAAGACAATAGTGTTATGTGTTTTTGTGTTTGCCCCATGTGCCTCGTGAAGTGCCCCTTACGGCTCGGGATGTGTGATGATGATGATGACGATACCGATGATGATGTTGCTGCCGATGATGATGATGATGATGATGATGATGATGATGATGATGATGATGATGATGATGATGATGATGATGATGATGATGATGATGATGATGATGCTGAGCTGTGATGATGATGATGATGATGATGATGATGATGATGATGATGATGATGCTGATGCTGACGATTGATGTTGTTGATGATGATGATGATGATGATGATGCTGATGATGATGATGATGATGATGATGATGATGCTGATGATGATGATGATGATGACTGATGATGATGATGATGATGATGATGATGATGATGATGATGATGATGATGATGATGCTGATGCTGATGCTGATGCTGATGCTGCTGATGATGATGATGATGATGATGATGATGATGAGGAGGAGGAGGAGGAGGAGGAGGAGGAGGAGGAGAAGGAGGAGCAGGAGCAGGAGGAGCAGGATGAGGAGCAAAAAGAGGAGGAAGGGCGAGTTTGTTCCCCAACGAGAGAAACAGGGTGGACCCAAACTGAAGACTCATGTATGGGCCCATTTGTAGCCAGTGCGCCTTGGACTTCCTCATGGAAGGGGGGGCGCCGCAACGCCGAGGCGCACCGGATTGGAGACGCACCGAGCCTCGATGGGGCCAGATTTTAACGGCATCCAGTGCACAGTGCGCCTCGGGGTCCTGGGGAAGGGAGCCCGAAACTCCGAGCGGAGGGGCACAGGTCCTGCCCGCGCTCATCTCTGCCCTCCCCCCCAACCTCGACCCGAGCCCCGGAGCCCAGCTTCCTGTTGTGGTGTGCGCCGGTGTGGATCGATCTGGGATGGCCATATAGGGCCCGAGACCGGGCGAGGCTGCCCGGCGTGAAGCAGCTGCAGCGTCCAGGTGCCCCCCTCCTCCCTCCTCCCTCCCTCCTCCCTCCCTCCTCCCTCCTCCCTCCTCCCTCCTCCCTCCTCCCCCCTCCCCCCTCCCCCTCCCCCCCTCCCCCCCCCCTCCCCTCCCCCTCCCCCCTCCACAATTACTCAATCTGAATACTCTCCTCCTTCCAGCGCAGCCGTCGGACACCACCCGGATCTTTTCTATTTTTTTCCGACGAGTGGTGGATTTGTTTGAAATTTCCACCCCGCTCCCGAGCCCATCCCCTCCCTGAAGCTGCAGTACAAGTCCAGAGTAAGGATGCGCTGCTTCATCCAGGCTGACCTGGCATCCCTGTTCCTTCGGCCTGGTCTAAGCCATGACGTCCCAGGAGCTCCAGACGCTAAACGGGACCTGAAAGGGTCTTGCATCCTTCCCTTGCGTCCTTACTCTAGATAATGGTTGCACACCCCCCATCGACCCCCGCCGTCGGCTCTGCCTGGCGTTGTGTTTCACAGCAGTGCCGTCCGAAGTACGGCTGTTGCACATGTGCCAATGCACCTATGACGTGCACGGTGTCGTTCTTCTTCGTCTTGTCTCTATTACTCGTAGATCTCTTCTCATCGTTATGATGATTATTTTTAGCAGTATTTGTTTCTGTTCTTCTTCCCCCCGATCCGATCCCCTTGTGCGACGCAGGCCTCCGGAAAGGTGGACTTCTTTGCGGCATCGGGCCCCCCCCTGCAGGGCTACGGGGCCCTTGCCAAGGAGCGCGCGGGGACTCGCCGCGCGGGCTCGATCGGCTCCCCTGGCATCGCTCGGACGTGTGATTTTTTTTCTCGGCGAGAACCATCGAGGAGCATCCTTGATCATTTGGCGACAAAGCCACGCACGAAACCGAAAAAAAACAGGGAATGGACGTCCGAGCGATGGCGAGCTCCTCGAGCCCTGGATCGACCCCATCGACCCCTCGATCGGGTCCTCGAGCCATGGACACTCCTCGACCCATCGATCCCCTGATCCCGCCCTCGGAGCCTCGATCCATCCCCGAGCCCCTGGATGCTTCCCCCATCTCGTCTCGGCACCCTCCGGCCCGACCGATGCCTCGGCGCCTCCCTCGTGCCCTCTCGGTGTCTCGTCCCCTCGATGTTTCCCCTCCCCAGGGGGGCGTCCGCGATTCGGTCGGGTTGGCTGCAGTCGGTTGCCTTCGGTCGGTTTGGCTCGGTCGGCTGCCGCGCCGTTGCTGCGTCGCGCCCTTCCAGGCGCCTGGCGGCCTGTCGGCGTCCGTCGGCTTCGGTCTCGCTATCAGTTCGGTCGCTTTTCGGCTGTGCTGTTGCCGTGGATGGCCTTGGGCAGAGGGGGGGCACACTGCAGTTGATTCGCGCATGCTTTCATCCGCTTCAAAATCTGCTGCATACAGTTGGGGCGCGCATCGAGGAGCCAGATACTTTTCGTCAGGGCATCCTGGATCTCATCGCTCCGCGCGCTGCGAAGGTGACTTCCCGCGGTCGTCAAAGAAGCTGCTGCACTCAGGGTGCTCCAGGTTTCCCCTGAGGTGCACCTCGTGCGCGGGTTTTCAGGGCCGGGCTTCTTGGAAGGGCTTTCCTGCGACCGCGACCGCACTGTGCCTCTGCTTCAAAATCTGCTGCCTGCTGCCGACTTCAGCCGACACCTGCCGCGACACCTGCTGCCTGCTGCCTCGATACGACTCGCGCCTCCTGGCGTCGGGAGGGCGCCAGAGAACCCGTCCGCACGGAGCGGCTCCGTGGAGCGAGCCCTTTTTGCTATCCCCGCGGTCGTCCGCCCGGAGTTGCCGCTGTCGACGACGTCGACGTCTTCTCTTTGTCCTCGTCCGCATCGTCGTCGTCATCGTTGCCCTCATGGGGGCAAGGGTCGAAGTGGAGGGGAACGAGATGGGGGAGGAGGAGGAGGAGGAGGAGGAGGAGGAGGAGGAGGAGGAGGAGGAGGATTCGGAACGACTGCGAAGCAATATTGGGAGGCGGAGGAGGAGGAGGACCATCACTTGGCTAATGGGGAGGCTAAGGGTTGGCCGACCGGACCCTAACCCGAAACCTCGTGGCACTGAGCCGCTGAGACGGCAGTGCGCTGCCGACGCTGAATGCGGTGCTTGGGCATGGCGTGGCCTTGCACACCAGGCCTCAGCAGCACCGTACCACCACCGCCCACGATCGTGGGGGGTGGGGAAGTGGGGCAGAGCCACTGTCGGGGCGGACTGGCAACCCTAGTCCAGCCTCGTGCTCAGAGGCCCCCGAGGGGTTGTCACCTGGCTGACGGAACCCCAAAGCTCGGGTTCTAGGGCTGGCTGCGTAACCGGCACCGTCAGTCCAGGAAAGAAACTCTGACTCCAGGAGACAGCTGTCGGCTGAGGCGAAGCTGCAGCCCTGTGCCGCAGAAGAGTGTGCAGCGCTCCTTCCTCCTGAGGCGGGGTACCTGACACGCGTGCAGGACCACACACGCACGCACACACGCACAGTACTCAGTTGGGCCCAGATGTGGCGTTGTACATCTGGCCACAATCCCGTTCCTGCGCCGCCTGTGGCGGGGAGGTGGGAAGGTGGATCTGGGCAGCAGTCAGGGTGGGCAAGGGAGCCCAAAGTCCACCCCCGTGCCCAGCAAAGAAGTTGCGCCAAACAGCACTCTGCAGTGAAAAGGACGGCATGCCTCGCCTGGCATGCGGTACCCCAAAGCTCGGCTACTAGGGCTGGCTGCGGGACACCAGCACCGCCAGTCGGAGCGAGATACAAAACCCCAGATCGAACCTGCATCGGGCCAAGGCGTAGCTGCGGTCGATGCCGCAGGAGAAAGAGAAAGAAATGAACGCTCCTTCCCCCTGAGTCGGGTTGCCTGACACGCGTGCGGGGAGCGCGCTCGCACACACGCACAAGTACACAGAGAATGAGGCGACGCCAGGACGACTCGGCACTGCCCACCCCTGGTGTAGAGAACGAGGTGGTGGAGGAGGAGGAGGAGGAGGAGGAGGAGGAGGAGGAGGAGGAGGAGGAGGAGGAGGAGGAGGAGGAGGAGGTGGGGGGGGAGGAGGAGGAGGAGGAGGAGGAGGAGGAGGAGGAGGAGGAGGAGAATGAGGAGGCGTGGCAGGAGACGGAGGAAGAGGAGGATGAGGAGGAGGAGCGGGAAGAGGAGGAGGGGGGCAGGGAGGAGAAGAGGGGACGGGGGACGGACAAACGGCGAAGAGGGGCTACCCTCTCTTCCTCTTTCTAATTACGATTGTTCCCTTTTTCACTGTTCTCCCATCCTTTTCCGCCCCCGCCGTCGTGGTCTTCATCGTCGTCGTCCTCCTCCTCCTCCTCCTTTCCACCCTCTGGTTCCTAGGGTACCAGACGGGCGGGTTGGGAAGGAGGAGGCGGAGGAGGATAAGGACGACGAGGAGAAGGGAGGGGAAGACGAGGTGGCCGAAGACGTGGAAGAGGCGATCGAGAGCGACGGGCGTGAAGGAGGAGGAGGAGGAGGAGGAGGAGGAGGAGGAGGAGGAGGAGGAGGAGGAGGAGGAGAAGGGGGAGGACGGGGCAGGGCACGCGAGGCAGGGAGACGCACGAGGCGACGACGACGACGACGACGGCCAGGAGGGGAGGACGAGGTGCACGGACATCGGCGGCGCGCCAAGGAGTCGAGCGAGCGGGGGAGGGCCTTCTCAGATATCGGGCCGTCCAGCCTTCTGAGGACCTCGTCAGGCTCGGGGCCTGCTGAGAGACATCTAACCCCTCTGCCTGGTCCTCCTCCTCCTCCTCCTCCTCCTCTTCCTCCTCCTCATCCCTCCTCCTCTAGTTTTTCGGCTCGCGAGGAGCTGCCGCCCCCCTTCGGGCGCCTGCGGGGTGCAGGCGAGGGGGATTCGGCTCCCGACGCGCGCTGAGACTAGCGCTCGCGCGACGGCGGCTCCCAGGGAGGCCGCCGCCCACCATCGAGCGCGACTTCGACGCAAGGAGGATCGCGCCCTCCTCCACGCCTGGGCGGGTCGCCTGTCTCCAGGCCTGGCGGCGAGGCTGCGCAGTGCGGCCCAGCGCCTGGACAGCCATCACGGCTCCTCAGCAGGGGCTATGGCGCCAGCGCCGGCCAAAGCGCAGGAGCAGCAGCCGCGGCAGAGGGTGCTACGAGGTTCGAAGAAGCCATACTGGAGCTGCTCCTGTGGCATGGACGGCAATTGGGCGTGCCGCATCGAGTGCACCTGTGGCAAGCATGCGCCCCAGCGCATCATCAACGCGGCCAAGAAGGCAGATGCTGCTGCACGAGCAGGTGATGCACCGTCAAAGCGAGCAGGAGGAAGCGGGCTCTCCGAGAAGCCCGCCCCTTGGTGCTCCAAGTTCAAGCTCATTGAAGCAGAGCTCGCGAAGTTGCGGAGTCTCGTCGGCAAGAGTGGCCCCACACCATGGACTCGGTCGGAAGGCGACCAGCACCAGGTCACGGAAGAGAAGAACGAGAAGGACCCCAGCTTCGCCAAGAGGACGGCCCTGCAGGAGAAGATCAACTATCACGAGCGCGCCCTCAAGGAAGCTGTCAAATATGAAGAGCAGGATGGTGCGGCACACGCGTACCACAAGGCAGAGATTGACAAGCTCAGGGAGCAGATCCGCGACCTGCGGCCCCCAGCAACGGCGTACAAGCTGGCGTCGCAGAAGCTGGAGCGCAGCAGAACGCAGCTCGACAAGCTCACGAAGGATCACGAGGAGATGCTGCTGCAGCTTCAACGACTGCAGGAGAAGATTTCGGAAAAGTCGGCATCGATCGAGGCGAAGAAAGTCGAGGTTGAGCAGTTCAAAGCGGAGGCAGAGCGTCATCAGCGGCAAGTGCAAGTTGCCCGAGGCGAAGCTTCCGATGAAGCTGGTCCGATCATCCCCGAGGATATCATGGCGCTCGACGTCAACCTCACGGACTTCCAGGAGGATCCAGGACTGCTGCAGTTCTATCACCAGTGCCGTGCTGACGCCAATTTCCAGAAGCTGCAAAAGCTGGTGCAAAGGAAGCTGGAGGTGTCCATCCCCAAGTCTCCTGCGTCAAGTAATGGGGCGCAAGTTCCTGTTGGCCCTGATTCTGATGACGGCCTTGATGGGTCAAGTAGCGGAGGCGAAGGCAACACCAATGGCGAGAACGGCGAGTCCTCCAAGCGGGCCAACGGCATCCAGTGGACCACGGAGGACGTCGAAGCTCTTCATACCAAGCTATGCAAGGGAGAACAAGGCAACGACATCTCCATGGACCAGCTATCCGACATGGTGGCCGATATCCAGAAAACCAAGTTTCGGAAAACAGATGAAGTGTCCGCAGTACCAACAGGAGGGTGTACATCCTAGCACCCTGCCGAGAGTAAGTGGGCTTCTCGTACGTCGTGGAAAGACATGTGCTGCCCCTGCGCCTGTATCCATGGTGAGCGAGCATTTGTTCGAGACCTTCAATGCTAGTCAAGGAAAGCGGACGCTTAAGCTTCGATTGGAGAGGACTCGTGCGTTGGCTGTTCTAGCGCAAGAAATAGGACACTATGACTGGGAATGCGAAGCACTCAGTACATGGGCTAGCTCCCGCAAGTGGCAGATGATGGTTATTCCTGGGAAGCCTACTGATGGACATCTCCCGTCAGGCGGATTAGCTATTTTCGCAAGGGAAGGCGTGGGGTTACGAGGCCCTGAGTATCCTGCATCTACGGCGGCTCGAAGACAAAGCGAGACGAATGAGCAGATTGCCGTCGGGTCTGAGCTGGTAGCCCATCGAGCGCAGCACGTGCTCGTGGAGTTGGAAGGATGGCCACCACTCAACGTCTTCAACATTTACCTGCACACGGCCGAGGGCATGACGACGAGGAATGCCAGGATCCTCATGAACGTAGGGCTCGCTATGGCAGGACAACAGTACCCATGCGTGGTAGGGGGCGATTGGAATATGTCGATCGAGGAGGTTGAGGCATCGGGTTTCCCAGTGCATGCACAAGTCGGACTTGTCAGCCCAGGCCAGGTCACATGCAGGGGACCGACCAGCGCAACAACGATTGATTTCTTCGCCCTAAGTTCTGGAGCCATGAGGCTCATGAGGAAATGCCAGGTGGACAAGACATGGCATAAGAAACCGCACCGACCTGTCCAGCTATCGCTATGTGGCCAAGGAACGACAATGCAATACCTTACATACGTTGGAGGGGCCAAGATTGCACCTGACATAGTTGTGGGCCCATTGTGGTACGACGCCGACTGGGAGTTCGAGCGGAGCTATGCTGCAGAAGCGTCCCGCCAAGCAGCGGTTGCTCCAGTAGCAGTGGCGTGGAAGGTACTATCACGAGCTTGGGGCTTCTGGGCGTGCAAGGCTGCAGTAAGGCTTGGCCACATCACGGGCACGTTCATCAAGGCACCAGAGCACTTCAAGGGCATGATCCGACCCAAGTGGATATCTTATGCATATGAGGGACAAGACGCTGAAGGTATCCAGGCAGTCGCTGATGGATGGCAATGGTTTGCAGATGCAGTCAGAGGGATCGCTATGCTCAAGAACGGCAGAGGCCAAGAGCAAGAAAAGGCAACTCGCTGATGAAATCCAAGGCTTCCTGGAGACCGATTATGTGGGCCAAAATGTTAATCATCGTCTAGACGCTTCTGTCACACGAGCAAGACGGTTGATTGTTCATGCCTCAACATCCAGCGAAGATCTACATGAATTTCTTGCTGAATGCGAAGAAGATAATGAGTATGCGAAGCAGCAGGCAGACCGAGATAGTGCTGCCCGCTGGAAGGACTGGTGCGATATTGCATGTGCGGGAGGCGCTGGGCGATTCCATCGTGCAACCAGGATCAACAGTGTGCAGGCGCCAACGGTAGTATGCAAGACCACCACAGACGGCATGAGCGGACACCCTCACCAGATTGTGTTGGACATGGAAGCCAAGCACCACAAACTCTGGCAGGCGACTGAGGAGGCACCGCACGTCTGGGTACCTGATCGCAGCACCATGGATAGACCTAGTCCAGGCATGATCAGAGCAGCGTCGAAGGAGTTCACCACGAAGACCTCGAGCAGCCTGGACGGCATCCACCCGTCGCATTTTCAGCACCTGAGCGATGAGTCTCTGGAGGGCCTCTGCGACATCTTCCAGGCGGTGGAGGCGATCGGAGTTTTTCCCATTCAACTGACGTGGATGGTGATGCCGATGTTGCCCAAAGCTGCTGGAGGACACAGGTTGATCATTCTGTACTCGGCGGCTTACAGAGTATGGCAAAAGATGAGAAGACCTGGACTCGACATGATCCAGCAGAGATTGGACCGCAACTACTGGGGAGCGGCATCGGGGAGAAGCGCAGTTGACAGTGCGTGGATCCTTGCAGCGGACAACGAGCAGAATGTATGTCAGAACAGGTTCGTGGTCACGATTGTCGCAGACTATAGCAAGTATTACGAGACGATCGGATTGGACCAGGCGCGCGACAAATTGATGCGCCTAGGCATGCCAGTCCCAATGATCAAGGTGGTATACAATCAATGGAAGGGGCCAAGGATCATACGACTGCGACTCCACCACGGAGGAGCACCAAGGCATGCGAACGCAGGGCTTCCAGCAGGCGATGCGTATGCAGACGTGGTGATAAAGGCTCACGCCGTCGAACAGTACGACATGTGCACGACTTTGCATCCGCTGGTGCGTTTCGCTTCCTACATTGATGACACAGCGTTTGGCGTCAACAGCAGTTGCAAGCAGAGGGTGATTGACCAGGCGGTGGATGCTACAAAAGGTTTCTTCAAGGTTGCACGGGCACTAGGGGCCAGCATCAACGAGAAGCTTGCCATCATTGCGAGCACCAAAGCTATAAGTGATGAAGCCAGTCGCCGACTTCACCTTGATTTGAAGATCAGCTTGAAGAGTACGGCGTATCTGGGCACTGACGTTTCTGGAGGCAGGGCTCGGAATGTCAAAGGTACGCGCGGGAAGTTTCGGGCAAGACAGAATGCGCATGGCAGAAGGCTGAGGAAGCTACGGAAGTTCAAGAAGGTGCTCGCTGGCAAAAAGACGGAGATAATTGGGAAGATCTACCGTGTTGGTGCGAGGCCTGCATACACGTTCGGGGTGGAGGTCAACGGGGTCAACGACGTGGAGCTACTGCAGTTAAGGCGGGAGTACAACAAGCACGTTAAGCCCAACCACGGCGGCACCTCCGCGAGCGCGAAGCTGGTGCTGCTAGGCGACCCCGCTGCCACCCAAGCACTGGCTCCTGCCCTCCAATGGTCAAGGATGGCATGGGCCGCCACAGCCAGGCCTGATACCGCAGCTGTTCCACTTGAATTGCTGGAAGCTTGGTGGAGAAGGGCAGTTACCGAACCTGGAGAAGTCAAGCAGTGGAGTAAAACACGTGGTCCCCTTCAGCGTGCAGCATTCTCAGTACAACGAGCTGGGTGGCAAACGCGTACAGGGTGCCTCTGGATCAACCATCGAGGCGATGAGGTGCATGCGGGGCAACTCACCCCTGGCCTTCTTGAAATGATGTTGAGGCAAGGCCTAGCAGTGCAGCATGAGAAGGCACTTGCGGAGAAGTGGGACATGCAGCCTTACACACGAGTCACCTTCGATATCCTTCGGCGACACGTCAAGTCCAGGAAGTTCAACAGATACCAGAAGTTCTGTATCATGAACTGCGCATGTGATGGAGTATGGACACGTCAAAAAGCGAAGGAGAAAGGATACCTAACGGACGGCAAGTGCGAGTGTGGGGACGAGGACACGCTGGTGCATAGGCTGGCGGAGTGCACTCGTCCAGAAGTCGTGGAAGCACGACATGAAGCTGGAATCCCCGAGTCGTTCCTTCAGGAGCTACGCCAAGCGCCAGATGATCGTGTCGTCACCCAAGGGGCCTTCGCATATCCTGAGTGGGAAATTCCTGAAATGCAACTAGGCACTGGCAGCGTGATTCTCGACGGTGATGGCAACGATTTCGATTGCACGCCCGAGACCATGGCTGCGACAGTGCTGGCTGAGACGGATTTGGAGATGGAGCTTTCTTTCGACGGGAGCTGCGCGAAGCCAGATATCCTGGAGCTACAACGTGCTGGATGGGCTATCGCTTTAATGGATCCACACTCGGACAAAGTACTATGTACGATGCACGCACCAGTGCCAGCTTCGCTTCCGCAATCCTCGGCGATGGCAGAGTATTTAGCCTACGCGTACACAGGACAGGTGGCAGACCGACCTACCAACGGATACGCGGACTTCATGGGCACGGTCAGACTGGCGGCTCTCACGCACGAGCAGCAGTTACGGTCCAAGTCGGCATACGCGTGCGTGGCCATGTTTGCTCAGAGCCTACCTGGATTCCATTTCCTCCGCAGTGTGACGCACGTGAAGGCACACCGTTCGGGAGCGGAGTATGCTGGCCTGGATGTGGCCACAAGGAGGATCACATATGCCAATGTCTATGCGGACGTTCGGGCCAAAGCTGGTGCGGCGATGCATGCAACCATCAGCGAGGATTTCGCGATGGCTATCGACACGGCCACTGTGAGGATCAAGCATTTCGCGCAGTTGGTGGCGGCCGTGCTACCCTTGTTTGATCGTGATGGGCAAGAGCGATGGACAAGGCGAGCTGCCCAAGTCAAGAGGGTAAGGAGTACGCGCGCCGATGGATGGCACCAGTGGGAGGAAGGAAGCTTCGGTCTTCAATGCATCGCGTGCTTGAAGCTCAACAGCCCAGGGATGGAAGTTACGCTCAATGGCTGCGCTGGCACCCCTACCTTCCTCAAGGCTTTCCTCAACCAACCACTCGGACATCACCTCGTGGCGGTGAACCAGAAGGGTGGCGGGCTCAGCGACGACGCGGTTCCCACGGTCTTTGTCTGCGTAGGCTGCGGTGCATGGGCACAACAACGCCGACGGCAGAAACTCCGAAGGCAGTGCAAGCCACCAACCAGACAAGGCATAGAAGTTCTGACGAATCTACGGCGGGGCTTAGGCCCACACAAGACGCTGGCGAGGCATATGGACTTGACGACCCCCCTGTGCAAGCTCATGCCCAAGACCCTGCCCCCGCTGGTCTCGAAGACCTGTGTCAGCCGACCTGTGGCGTTGGCGGAGGTCACGGGGCACGAGCACAAGATGGCAGCAATGATGGAAAGGATAAAGGCAAAGGAAAAGGCAAAGCGCGAGCAGGACGATGACAACAACACGATACTCGGACGCACGCGACATGGAGATCCTCAACAAGGGGGTAGTGTATGCACGGGAACGGGGGCGCCCACTGAGTCCTTGGCGGCCAGCGCGCCTGAGGCACATCAGTGTCGCCACGTCAATGGAATGCCCCCCGTGGTACAACAGCATGGCGATCACCTACCCGCAGCCGCTGAAGACGGAGTCGGTGATGATGACGGTGCACGCTGCAGCCGAGACGGAAAGGAGGCAGGAGCAGGGCCTCATCCGAGCAGCGAAGGTGGAAAGGAGGCAGGAGCAGGGCCTCAACCACATGACGGAGACGTCGGTCTCGCCAGGGACCGCGTCGGAAAGGGGGCAGGAGCAGGGCCCCAGCCGAGCGGTCGCGGCGGAAAGGAGGCAGGAGCAGGGCCTCAACCGCATGATGGAGGTGCGCAGCAGAGAGGACGAGCAAGGCAGCCAAGTCTCTGGGCACTTTTTCAGGCGGCATCGGGACGACGAACTGAGAGCGGGCAGAAGGACCATGGGCCGAATCCCATGGGAAGGGCAAGCGGGGATCTCGAGAAGCAGACGTTGAAGGCAATCATGGGCGCCCAGGCGCTCAGCGGCAACCACAGCGGGAACCATGCTGCTCGAGACCGCGCAGAGAACACGGGCAGCCTCCGAGGCCAGGAAGCGGCTGCGGTGGCAAGCACTACGAGGAGTTCTTCGAGAAGAAGAGCCGAGCCAATAGGCATGGAGGCGCCCAGCCAGGGGCAACGTGGTCGGAGAGCTGCGGCTGAGGGCGCACTCCAGGGAGCTAATGGCGTTACGAGGTGGGGTACTACGTGGAGTACAGCCTGCACAGCGCCTGTGGCCCTGGATGTGTCTCCCAGGGGCGGCGCGGAGGCGGCAGGGGTGATCCACCCTAGCCGCCTGTCCCCTGCGCGGCGAGGGGTTAGGCCGCAGCGGATGGCGGCGGCGCCCGACACGTTACAGGGCGTTGCCGATGCTACGACGAGGGGCGCTATGAGGAGTGCTCCCTGCACAGAGCCTGTGGCCCTGGATGTGTCTCCCAGGGGCGGCGTGCGGGGTACTACGCGGAGTACGGCCTGCACAGCGCCTGTGGCCCTGGATGTTTCCCCCAGGGGCGGCGCGGAGACTGCTGGGGCGCTCTGCCCACACCGCATGTCCCCTGCGCGGCGAGGGGTTAGGCCGCGGTGGCGCATGGCAGCGCCCCACGAGTCACAGGGAGATGCTGGCGTCGCGACGCGGGGCACTACGCGGAGCACTCCCTGTGCAGCGCCAGTGGCCCTGGACGTGTCACCCAGGGGCGGCGCGGAGGCGGCTGGGGCGACCTGCCCTAGCCGCCTTTCCCCTGCGCGGCGAGGGGTTAGGCCGCAGCGGATGTGGGCAGCACCTGTCGAGACGCAGGGAGCAGCTGACGCTCATACGAGGGGTACTACGTGGAGTACCTCCTGCACGGCGCCTGTGGCCCTGGAGGTGCCTCCCAGGGGCGGCGCGGAGGCGGCTGGGGCGCGCCGCCCCAGCCGCACTACCCCCTGCGCGGCGAGGGGTTAGGCCGCAGCGGCTCTGGCAGCGCCCGACGAGTCGCAGGCGCTGAGTGCCGCGCTGAGTGCCCGCGGCCGCGGGCGCTCGTGCGCGGCGGCCCCCGAGGGGGCGACCCGCGTCCGCGGGCGTGTCATCATCATCATCATCATCCCTCCTCTCTTCCTCCTCCTCCCTCCTCCTCCTCCTCTCTCTCCTCCTCCTCCTCCTCCTCCTCCTCCTGCTCCTCCCTCCTGCCCCTCCTCCTCCTCCTCCTCCTCCTTCCCCTCCTCCTCCTCCTCTTCCTGCTCCTCCTCCTCCTCCTCCTCCTCCTCCTCCTCCTCCTCCTCCTCCTCCTCTCCTCCTTTCTCCTCTCTCCTTTCTCCTCTCCCTCTCTCTCCTCTCTCCTCCTCCTCCTCCCCCCTCCCCCTCCCTCCTCCTCCTCCTCCTCCTCCTCCTCCTCCTCCTCCTCCTCCTCCTCCTCCTCCTCCTCCTCCTCCTCCTCCTCCTACTCCCCCTCTTCCTCCGACAACCTCGGGAGGCTCCTCCTCCTTTTTTTCCTCGTCCTCGTCCTCCTCCTCCTGCCCCTCCTCCTCCTGCTCCTCCCTCCCTCCTTCTCTCCCTTTCTCATTCCCTGCCTCCCTCCCTCTGTTATCCATAGCTCTCGGCCTTTGGGGACCCTTGCCGGGCCTCGGGGCCGTCACAAAACGACTCGGGACGAAAACCGGTCCCGGGGGAGTGGTGGAGAGGTTGGGGACCTTTAGTCTCGAACAAATTGAAGCGCCGGGCGTCTGGGAGCCCCCCAACTTGGGCGCACGGTGGCGGAGCGCTCCAGGGGGCTCGAGTTCCGGACCACGGAATTCGCCTGGGTTTGCGACAGTTTATGGTGATGTAGTTTGTGACTCTTCGATCTTCCTTTTCCCCGTCGCTCTCGTCTTTGTCATCCTCGTCGTCGTCTTCCTCGTCCTCGTCCTCCTCGTCCTCGTGGTCCTCCTCGTCCTTCTCGTCCTCCTCCTCGCCCTCCTCGTCGCCCTCGTCGTCCTCGTCGCTCTACTCCTCGTCCTCGTCGTCGTCCTCGTCGCCCTCGTCGCCCTCGTCCTCGCCGGCCGACGGCACGGACGGCGGCGGGCGCGCCGCCTCGCGATCGACTGCGCGAGCGGCACAGCAGGAGCCCCTGGCGGTGGGCGAGGCGCTGCTGGAGATCCCGCTCGCGGCGTGTCTGGCTCCGCCCCTCTTTCTCGGAGGAGGAGGAGGAGGTGGAGGGGGAGGAGGAGGACGAGGAGGAGGAGCAGGAGGAGGAGGAGGAGGAGGAGGAGGAGGAGCAGGGGGAGGGGAGGATGAGAGGGTCGAAGAAGAAAACACGCCGTGCACAGAAACTTTAGAGCGCTCCGCGCGGATTTCTCGTATCCGGACTGGGCCCCCCCGGGCGGCACCTTCCGCGCCGACCCCGACGCGCTCCGCGGGGGTGGCATGAAGTTTACGCTTAGGGCGTTTGTTCTTTCTCTCGAGTGGTTACCCATCGATCGTTGAAAGTAGGTATTTCTGGATTCCCAGAACCCAATCTACTTCAAGAGCCTTCCTACTTCAAGAATCGATGCGCTTTTGGTGCTTTTTGTAACTCTCTGGGCGGGCCCGAGCCCAATCTGTCCCTCCGAGGGCCCCTCTTGGGAGGCCCTCGTCGCACCGCTGGGTGGGCCTCGTGATCCTGGTCAGAGCGCACTCATAGAAGAGGTCCGGGGAGTGGCCATACAGTTGAAACCCATGCCAAGAAGCACCCTGCTTGCCTCCAGGGTGCCATGGTTTTCTCGGGTTTTTATGATCTTGCTATGGGAAGCGCGACGTTCCCACCAAAATCAATGGACGTCCTGGGGCTCAGGTCTGCGATTCTTGTGGACGATTTCTTGTGGACTCGCCTCCACTGTATCGGTACCGTTTGGTCATCCCATCTCCAGCCACGCGCGCATGGGGGCGTGTGGTGTGTGTGTGTGTGTCTACCACCTCCTGGACTAAAAAGTCCAGATCGGCCTTACAAGGCCCCTTGCCCCCTCGCTCACCGATTGTATCTGGAGCATTGACCCTCGATGGATCTTCGGCTCACGATTTCGGACATGGCCTCCAAGACGAACTCAAGACAACGCCGCGCGCCGAACAACGGCACAGCACCGCAAAACATTGATCACTAGAACCAGAAAGTTCTGTTTAGAATCGCGCGCGTCGAGACAAATAAACGCGCTTTGCAGAATCTTCCAAATATTGACGCTACTTACAGGCATCATAAGTCGGACTGAATTTGTTGTGAGGAAGTCTCGAGCGACATCGCACATTTCCGATCGCCTCTGAAAAACTCAGGTCCTCGGGAACCCGATCGGATTTTTTTCGAGGGCAGTCTTGGGCGAAATTCGAATTTCCGATCGTCGCCCCATTTGGCGACTGTAATATTTTTGGGGGTGAGGCATGAATCGGAAATCCGCCATGGCGGTCTCGGCAACATTGTACTGGGGCCCCGCGGCCTAACGGTACACGTTCAACGCTCAGTTTCCGCGACCTTTGCGCTCCGGACTTTGTATTCGGGGGGGTCGTAGGCCCGCCAGTTTCTCGGGGCGGAGAGCCGGTCAGGAGGAAGGGGAGCCAGATCTCTGGGGCTCCGACTTGTGAAGTAGACAGATCGCGACGTACTCCAGATTTCGTAATAAAAGGGAGGGGGTCTGGACCCTCCAAGACAAGCCATTTCAGACCTCCCCCGTGGGAGAACCCTCAAAAACATAGTCCCCAGACCCCCCAGGCCCTCCAAGATAGCCTGGAAGAGACCCCCCCCCGAAATGAGACCCCCCTCCCTTTATTACGAAATCTGGAGTAGGAGTTCTCGACCCGAGGTTTTCGGGCGGTCTCGTCCGCGGTCGGCGGCTGTCCGGCCTCGGGGGTGCCTTCCTGCGGCTGCGCGAACGGCGCCGCGGGCGCCCCAGGGGTGCCCGAACGGCGGCCGCCAAGGGGAGGAGGAGGAGGAGGAGGAGGAGGAGGAGGAGGAGGAGGAGGAGGAGGAGGAGGGAGGAGGAGGAGGAGGAGGAGGAGGAGGAGGAGGAGGAGGATCAGGAGGAATGGAAAAGGGAGGAGAGGAGGAGAACTATGGAGGAGGAGGCTCTGGTGCGCCCGGTGCGCGGCCCGCCGGCTCTGCAGGGGGCAGCGACAGGGGTCAGCCACGCGCGGAGGGGGGAGGAGGGAAGGGCTTCTCAGAAGCACCCCTTCTTCTTAGAAGGAGGGGGCCCTGTGTCCCCAGACCCCCTCGAGTTATGAAAAAATCACGACGGGAGGTTTCTCACTATTTTTGGCTTTGGGGGGCCCTTACCGGCCCTCGGGACCGTCAAAAAACGACTCAGGATGAAAAACCGGTCCCGGGGAACGGGTCGAGATCTCTGGGGTCGACGTAATGAAAAAATCATGACGTCGGGGGTCTGGGTCCTTTTGTGGGCCCCGGAAGCGGCAGGGCCGTTTTTTCACCGTTTTCCAGAAACATGTCCCTTGAACATGGAAGCGGCAACAAAAACGGCGGCCGGAAACGGCAAGAAAACGGCTCCAGGATGGGAACCGGAGCCGGAGCCGGATCCGGTCAAAAAGCGGCGACGGAACCGGTAAAACAACGGCGACGGAACCGGCAAAAAAACGGCACAACGGAACCGGTAAAAAAACGGCCCTGTCGTTTCCAGGGCCCACTAAGGCCCTGTCTATCAACGTAAGGCCGGCGCCTTCTGATAAGCCTTCCCCCCTCCCTCCAACCCATTGTACGCGCAGCCAACTTTTATTCCTCGTTCTCGTCCTCGTCCTCCTCGTCGTTTTCGTTTTCGTCCGTCGCGTCGTCCTCGTCCTCGTCGTCGTCGTTTGGCTCCGTGCTCGTGATCCAGAACATAGCAACAGTAGAAACATTATGCACGTTTAGAGTTTCCTCGCAGATGTCTCGTCCTGGCCTTGGTGTCGGCGGAGTGTCTGGGGGGAGGTGAGGAGGGGCGGGCCTTCTCAGAAGGCTCGGACTGACTCGGGCCTTGTGAGTAGTTGTTGAAGCCTTCCCCGAAGAAAGAAGACTCCTCAGAAGGCGCGAGGGCCTACGAGAAGCCCCGCCGCCCTTGAGAAGGCCTGCCCCTTTCTCGTTTCCCCCCCTCGCTCGCCGCCGACCTTTGTTCCGTCCTTTTCTCGCCCGGGCCTTGGCTGATGTCAAAACGATGGGGTAGTTTTGTGCTGCTTTCCATTGTGCCCGCAACCCCCTCCACCGCTGGAAGTGGTGGCGCCCTGCACGGCTGACTTCAGGCGTCGCTGCACCTGTCTCTGCCGACGCCGTGGCTCTCTCCACGGCCACCTGTCACTGCAGTTGGAGCCTTGCGAGCAAACAGTGTTGCTCGACAGAGTGAGAACGGCACACGCATAATTACATGTTCGGGGTTCCTCTCGGGATCGGCGTTGCGCTCCCCCTTGGCGGCGCCACGGGCGCCGCCCCTTGCGCGCTCCGCTCGCCACGGGAGGGGGGGGGGCCAGCGCCGATCCAAGACATCCGCGCGGAACTCCGGAAGTTTGTCTTTTCATGGTGCGTTTCGTTGTTTTTAGTCTCGGCGCGGCTCCAGGTGTTCAAGGACAACGCAGCTCCACGTTGTCAAATTGTTGGTAGAGCGGAAATCAACGGCAATGCCACGTGGAGCTGGGCCGAAATCGTCGCGAACGAGAAACGGAAAGCACGTCTGACGCTTCGCGTATCCCCGCCAACCCATCCAGACACGATCGTCAGGTGAGCTGTCTTGATGAGGCAGACCAGAAACACGCAGAGCGGCACCCGCCTTGGAGGCCTCTCGCGGGTGCGGAGAGGGCGGGGGCATGTGTTAGGAGAGTCGTCAACAAGGTAGGTTGGACAGGTCGACCTGGCGCCGTTTTGGTTTTATCGGGGACAGATTGGGGTCGCGATCGGCAAACGTAGACCCGTCACGGTTATGTCGTCGGGGAAGATTCCTGGCCCCACCACGTTGCAGATGTTTGTTCTTTTCCGAACAGCTACGGCAACGCATCATACTGTTACTCAAGCGGTGGCGAAGTGGACCACTTCGTTTATATGCTTGCCGGAACATGTTCTAATGTCCCGTTTGTGGTATGCACGAAATCTTATTAACATAGTTTTGGTTGGGAATGTGTTGTAACACATCGGGTGCATGTTCTAAGAACTTGTTTTTTGTTATTTGAACATGTTTGGATTATACGAACATGTCGTGGTAGGGCCATCGGAATGCCAGGACGCCCGGCCCGTGCTCAACAAATTGCCCGGAATTGGACAGGAGGGGGGAGGAGGAGGAAAAGGATGGGGTCGGAAGAGGTGGACGTGGAGGAGGACGAGGTTGAGGAAATAGGAGGAAGAGGAGGAGGAGGAGGAGGAGGAGGAGGAGGAGGAGGAGGAGGAGGAGGAGGAGGAGGAGGAGGAGGAGGAGGAGGAGGAGGAGGAGGAGGGAGGAGGAGGAGGGGGAGGAGGAGGAGGAGGAGGAGGAGGAGGAGGGAGGAGGAGGAGGAGGAGGAGGGGGAGGAGGAGGAAGAGGAGAAGAAGAGGAGGAGGAGGAGGAGGAATAGTAGAAGGAGAAGGAAGGGGAGGAGGAGGAGGAGGAGGTGGAGGAGGAGGACGAGGAGGAGGAGGACGAGGACGAGGAGGAGGACGAGGAGGAGGAGGTGGAGGAGGAGGAGGAGGAGGAGGAGGAGGAGGAGGAGGGGGAGGGGGAGGAGGACGAGGTTGCATGCGGCCCTGAATGTGTGACTCGTTTTTTTGTTTTCCGAACGGGTTCACTAACCGTACGATCATATTGCCCCGAATGCCAGAAGGGGAGGAAGAACAGGAGGAGGAGGAGGAGGAACAGGAGGAGGCTGAGGGGATGTCATGGTGGTCCTTGGGGCTTGTTGGAGCGTCCCCGATGCTTCGGGAAAACCTCTTGGAGCGTCTCTGGTCTCGTGGGGGCCTCTTGGGGGCCTCTTGAGGGCCTCCCTGGTGACGCTGGGCGCCTGCCTGGTGGTGCCATGCGCGTTTTTTGGTTATTTTGGGCTCCCCCGGGGCCATTTCGGAGGAGACCGATCAACGAAGGGGGGGGGGTCAAGTGAGGCCCCCCCCCCCCTCGGAGGCTCCAAGGTGGCCTCTGGGGTCCTGTTGGGCCGCTCTCGGACGCCTCACGGGCGCTCCGGGGGCCGCTCGGGGGCCGTCTTGGGCCCACTGTGCGGCTGTCCTGGGTCGTGCGAGGGCCGTCCTGCGGCCCGAAGTGCCGATCGGAGGCGAAAGGGCGAGCAGCCGGCAACACATGGAGTTCCCGCAGGTTTCTGAAGGACTCGGGCCTCTTGTTGGGACGTGCCTCAGGGGGCTGGAGTGGCACTAGGAAGCGTCCTGGGGCTGTTTTGGGTCGTCTTGGAGGCGTGACGGGGGCCATGGTGACGATCGATGTTGAGATTGTCTTGAGCTATCTTGGAGGCTGTCCTGGGCTGCCGAGAGGGCCCTCTCGGAGTCACCTCGGGCCAGCTTGTGCGCTCTGACGGCTCGGGGGGGACCCCCTGCCCAGGCCCAGGTGAGGGGGTATGGGGGAGAGGTACCCCCTCCCTCGAGCAGGGGAAGGATCGGGCCGGACAAAAGGGGGGGATTGGGAAAGGGGGGGGTACGACATTTGCTGCATGCAGCTGGTTTCGGCCCCACCGAGGGACCCATTCCTCGATACATAGTCGCCTCCGGCGCCGGGAGGCGCCGGGAAAATCAGCGACGTGAGCTGATTCTCAAACCCCCCCTTTGCTATCCCCCCCTTTCGCCCGACCCGAAAGGAGGGGTTGTGGCAGGGAACCGAAAACAATTTGTCAAACCACCCTGCCCAGAGGACTGGTGGGATTTGCCCCACAATTGAGCAACAATCGATTCGGGGGCCCCGGTGGATTGGCCGGAGGGTCGGCCGGAAGGTCGGGGTTGGCCGGCGGATTGGCCGGAGGATTGGCCGGAGGATTGGCCGGAGAGCGAGGTTTGCCAGAGGTTTTGCAGGGCAGTTTGCAGTTTTTCGGCAGCACGATCCAACCCTACCTTCACCGCTCATCGATTCAGGCAACTCGGTGGGAAGTGGGGGTGGGTTTCGGAATACGTCCAGCGCGTGGCGAAGTCCGAACACTACCCCGAGTCTCATCGATTCAGGAGAATCGATGGTTGGTGGGGGTAGGATTCCGATGCCGCCGCCCAGTTCTTCGAAAGGCATTTTTTTCCATAACGTGCAGCGCCCCTCAATCGGTTCCGCTGGTCCTGCCAGACGCGCCGGCGTTCGTGGACGAGCAGCAGAAGCTGATGCTGCGCCTCCTCCAGGAGGTTCGCCTGGGGAGCCCTTAGGGCAGGGGGATTGGGGGGCAGGGTAGGGGCATGTTCAGGGCACAGCAGAGAACCACAACACACATCGAGGTACATTTTTCTGGAGGGCCCCTCGGGGGAGAACCCACCGACCCCGATATGGACACCTGGTCAGTGCTTGTGGTCGATTCGGACGTCTGGAACGCCCACATCGGCCACAACCAGTACTGAGCTTGTTTCGGTGTGCTGATGTTTGCGGGCATGCCCAACATATCGCCAGGGTGCGTAGTGGGGTTCCATGCCAAGAAACACCCTGCTTTCCTCTAGGGTGCCCTGGGTTTCTTGGGTTTCGACGGCTCTGCCATGGAAAGCGCGACGCTCCCATACCAAAAATCAATGGACGTCCTGGGGTCTCAGGGTTGGTTCGGTTTCTTGTGGCAAGTCCCTCGTGGTCGGGCCCCCACTGCGGGGTTTCGTGTATTCTCGTGGGTTCCCGGCGGCTTTCCAGCCTTCAGCAGCTGCGCCCGGCAGAGGGGGCTTCCGAGGGTGTGAGAAGATCGCCCCGAAGGGCCGTGGGCAGTTCTTGACGCATCGCGTATCCCCGCCAGTTTAGCCTCGCCTGCTGGCCCAGACGACGCCTTCCGCTCCGTGTCCGCCGCCTCGGAGCCGCCGACCAAAAAAAAGTATCCCCGCCAGCGGCTCCCCCCCCAGTCGACGGCGCTCTCTTCTTAGCGGCAGCGAGGCTCGCCTTCTGTTTGCTCCTCCCTCCGCTGTCCTCTCGTTGCCTCCCCTCCCCCCTCCTGTTGCGCAGTTCGTGCGTGGTCCGCTCGCTTCGACTCTTGGGCGGCGTCCAGCGTCTCCCGGTGCGCTCGCGATCAAAACGTACCCCCGCCAGCCTTGAGCCCCGTCCCGCCCTGTGCCTGGCGTTGCTCGCCTCGTTGTATTTTCCCTTCGCAATCGCCCTCGGCCGCCTGTGTGAGTCTCGCTTCACACCCGGGCGTCGCTCGCTGCTCTGTTTTTGTTCCCTTCGCAGGCGGCATGGCCTGCACCTGACTGCTCGGCGTCCGACCCGCTTCGTGCGCCTGGGAGCCAAAAAGTAGCCTCCCTCCATCCCTCACTCCCTCCCTCCCTCCCTCCCTCCCTCTTCGCCAGCTCTGCCAGAAACGACGCCCAGGCGAGTGGAGGTCATCGGGGAAGTCTAGGAGCAACGACGGGCACGGCCGAACCGTTCGAAGGAGGAGGAGGAGAAGGAGGAGGATGGATGGATGAGGGAGGAGAGAGAAGGATGATGAACAGGAGGAGGAGGAGGAGGAGGAGGAGGAGGAGGAGGAGGAGGAGGAGAGGAGGAGGAGGGGGAGGAGGAGGAGGAGGAGGGAGGAGGAGGAGGGGAGGAGGAGGAGGAGGAGAGCAGGAGCAGGAGGAATAGGAAGCGGCAGTGGAGAGGGACAAGTAGGAAGAGTAGGATGAGGTCTGGGAGGGGGAGGGGGGGGGGGAGGAGGGAGGAAGAGGATGTGAGGGAGGGGGATGAGGGATGGGGATGGGGAGACAATGGCGAGCGATGGGGAGGAGGAGGAGGAGGAGGAGGAGGAGGAGGAGGAGGAGGAGGAGGAGGAGGAGCGAGGAGGACAATGGCGAGCTTGGGAGCCTCCTAGGCAGTCTGGGGAGCCTCTTGGCGGTCCCGAGGGCCTCTTGCGTACCTCGGGGAGCATATTGGGGCGTCTTGGGGGTCTCTCGGGAGCCTCTTGGGGCCTTCTTGGCGCCTCTTGGGGCCCTCTTGAGGCCCTCATGGAGCGCTCTTGGGAACTTTTCAAGGCACTCTTGGGGCCATCTTGGAGGACATCGATCAAAGAAGGTGATGGGCGCAACTCGCGCTGCCCCTCGGGAGCCCCCAACATCGCCTCTTAGAGCGCTCTTGGAGCGCTCTTGGGGACGTCTTGAGGCTTTCTTGGGCCTCTCTTGGGGTCCTCGTGGGCCATCTTGGAGCCATCTTGAGGCCTCGGAAGGCTTTCGAGAGCGAACGGGCGGCGGTGCACAAATCATTGGTTTGCCTAGGGTTTTTGAAGCATTTTGGCTTTTTGGAGGCCTCCTTGGATGTCTCGGAGGCTTCTTGGCGCCGTCCAGGGACGGTCTAGGGGCCTTTTGGAGCATCTTCGGAGCCATCTTGAGGCATCATAGCCTATCCTGAGGCATCTTTCAAGTCATCTTGGGCTCTCCGAGGCGCACTTGGAGCCGTCTTGGGCGAAACAGTACCGTCTGACACCGCGCCGTCCCCCCTTTCCAGGTCCAGGGGAGGGGGTAGGGGGAGGGGTCAAGACGCCTGCAAGGAGGAAGCCGTGTGGCTCATTCCCACTCACCCTCCCAACACACAAGTAGCACCGGACCAAACGACCAACTGTTTGAACCTCCGAACAGGCTCTGTCAACAACCAATGCAGAGGTCCCGACGGGACAATCGTAGTTCCGCCAGCTACGGCTCGAGTGCGACAGGAGAGGTGGGCGCGCGGCCGCTAGCGGGGTGCTCAAGGGACACTCTTGGGACCCTCTGAAGGCCGTCTTGGGCCCTTCTGAAGGCCGTCTTGGGGCCCTCTTGGGCGATCTCAGCGCCTCTTGGGCCTGGGCCGTTTGGGGGCGCTCTTGGACCGTCTTGGGACCTTCTTGGGGGCCGGTTGGGCCGTCTTGGGGCGGGCTGTTGGGCCTTGTGGTCTATTTTGGAGCGTCGGAAGCACGAAAGGGCGAGAGCCCCCAAAACACAGAAAAAAACATAATGCAAGTCAATGATTTCTGCCTCTTTGAGCCCTCTTCGCAGGCCTCTTGGAACGCTCTTGGAGCCTCTTGGAGGCCTCTTGGGCCTTCTTTGGGCCATCTTGTGCGTCTTGGGGCGCTCTTGGGCCGTCTTGGAGGCATCTTGGGCCCTCTTGGGCAATTCTTGGGGCCATCTTTGCTCGTCTTGGGGCCCTGTGGCCTCTGGAACATCCACGCGACCGAGCCAAGCGCCCAGATGCTCCGATGTTGAGGCAGAGTGTGTGTTTGCACTGTTTTTTGATAGGGATGATGGGGGGGTCCCTCATGGTATGCGCATGGTTCCCGATTGGCTGTCGGCCGGGTGGGGCAGGGGGGGGTTACCAACAGGGGGCAGTGCAACCCCCCCCCCGAGGGGGAAGAGGGGAGCTGGAAGAGGAAGCGCTGTGGACATCCCCACGCCCAGAGGGCTGGTGGGATTTTGTGACCCGAAAGCCCGGGGGCCGCGGCGGGAGGGGGCTTGGCTCGGGGGCGGATGCGTCGACCCCCAATGGCATGTCGATCGCCGATGGGGGGCCCTGGCCCAGGACTGCGGATTCGGCATCGGGGGTCTATCGCCGATCTGTCGTCGACGCATCGCCGAGCCCAGGTCGATGCCCCCCCCCTCTTGAGCCGGTCGATGTCTCCCACCTGGAGGAGGGAGAGGGGGAGGAGGAGGAGGAGGAGGAGGACGAGGAGAGGAGGTGGCAGGATGAGGAGGAGGAGGAGGCGGAGGAGGAGGGGAGGAGGAGGAGGCGGGAGGAGGGGGGAGGGGAGGAGGAGGAGGAGGAGGAGGAGGAGGGGAGGGAGGAGGGATGAGGAGGGGGAGGAGGAGGAGGGGGCGGAGGAGGAGGAGGAGGAGGAGGAGGAGGAGGAGGAGGAGGAGAAGGAGGAGGAGGAGGACCCCGACCTCCTAAATCATGGCGGAGCATTTGAGGCCGTTTTCGGCTTGCAGCGGCTCCTTGCCATGCCCCGTGTCCAGTCAACGAAGCACGGCTCGGGACGAGATGCTGGTCCCCAGGAGTCAAGCAGTGGCGAAGCGTTCTGGCTCGCCTTCAGCTCTACCAAATATTGTTGTAAGAACCTTTTTGTGGCTTCCACGAAATGTTCTTAGAACCTTTCTGGACTATATTGTTTTCACACATCGGGCAAATGTTCGAATAACATTGATATTGTTCTTAGAACGCTTCTGGGTTCTAAAAGCATCTCGTGGTAGGACTACAGGAATGCCGGGACGGTCGGTCCCTGTTCAAAGCTTCGGCAGCTCGAGGCCTCAGCTGGTCCTCGACAGCTCGCTGCTCCGACTCGGCGGCGAGCGACGGGGGGGAAGTGAGAGGGTGTGGGCCTCCGCGGAAGGCTTGCGAGCCCCCAGGGGCTTCCGAGAAGGTGGTCGGAGCCCTCCCCGAAGACGCAGGACGCTTCTCAGCAGGCGCGGGGGCGGCCGAGAGGTCCCGCCGCCTTCTGAGAGGGCCTCCTCCTCCTCCTCCTCGCTTCCCCCTCCCTCTCCCCCTCTTTCCCCTCCCCCACCCCCTCCCTCCTCCTCTCTCCTCCTCCTCCTCCCCCTCTCCTCTCCCCTCCTCCTCCTCCTCCTTCCCCTCGCCCCCTCCTCCTCCCCCTCCCCCTCCTCCTCCCCTCCTCTCCTCCTCCTCCTCCTCCTCCTCCCCCTCCTCCTCCCCCTCCTCCTCCCCCTCCTCCTCCTCCTCCTCCTCCTCAATTCGCCCCCCTCGCTCCCCGCCGGTCGAGGCATCGACCCTCCGCGCTGCGAGAAAGCAGGATGGCGATTCGGGATCCGAGCGTTCCGTCGGGCCTGCCCCTCTGCACCTTAGGCGATGCTTAAGAAAACCTAAGTTTTCGGCGAGAGTCTCGACTATTCGTAACGCTTCAATGTAAACCCTAAGATGTTAGTCGAAGTTCTGGGTTTTGATTCAAATTCTGAGACTCTGAGTTTCTTAACCCATGATTTCTTAAGCATTTTGCACGGTGTACAGGAGAACTATCCGAAGCAGTTCAAACAACTTCTCAGGGGACGCTCTTTTGGGGTTCTGCTTGAATCTGTTTGGGCATGTTAGGTGTGTTTTTGTTTGTGTTTCGTCCACGATCCGCCGTCGGGGGGACATGCCAGACCTCGTCCGAGCGCCTGGGGGGCGCTCACGCCGCGCGTCGCCCCAAGGGGCGGGGCTTTTTTTGTTAGACTGGGCTCCACACCTGCTGGCGCGGGCGTCGCTGCCATGGAGACTCTTGGATCAGCCCTTGCAGATCGAAGAAGAACGCGCTGCATATCGGAGGAGGAGAAGGTACCCATACCTCGAAGAAACACGCAACGCCATAAGCATAAACTTTTGGCGCTCCGCGCGGATTTCTTGGATCCGCGCCTGGGCCCCCCGGCAGCGCCTCCGGCGCCGCCCCTGGCGCGCTCCGCGCGCCAGGGAGGGGGGTCCAGCGCGAATCCAAGAAATCCGCGCGCAGCGCCAAAAGTTTATGTGTATGTGGTTTTGCTTTTTCTAGAAAATGTACCCGTACCTCTACCCTTCCCTCGTTCTCCCTTGTTTTGGGCATCCTGGGATGCCCTCGTCGCTACCGCTGGATTCGCTTTGAAATCTTGGTGAGCACGCACCCCTGGAGAGAGTTCTGGGGGGTAGCCTGTCGGTACTTTCTAGCCTACCAGCATACAGTCGGACCGAGGTATACGATCGAGGTAAGTTCGGGGAGGGTTCCTCGTGTTCTTCGTTTTTGTTGGATGTTGTTGTGCCTCCTCGGGGAGGGCATCCTCGATTCTTCAGTCTGGGCCAGCGGATGGTCTCTTGCTCTCGAGGCATATTCTGCTGTTCCAGGTTCGATTGTAACACATCTTTTCTGTTCTCCGCACGGGTTCTTTGACGATCGGCGCTGGGCTCCCCCCGGCGGCGACTCCGTGGACGCCCCCGGCGCGCTCCGCGCAGCAGGGAGGGGGGTCCAGCGCCGATCCAAGCGATGTTCGTGGACCTCCAGCAGTTTTGTGTTGATGCAGCAGCTTGTCCTCGAGCAAAACCTCTCCCAGCTGGGGACAGCTACGCTTGTGTCTACGCTTCTGTTTTTGGGTGCCCTTTTGGCCCTGTCTTGTGCTCCCCTTGGGTGCTCTTGGAATCTTTCTAGGGCCGCTCGTCCCTGGGATCTTTGAGTTCCCAAGATCATGTTCGGTAGTTTGCCTGGTTGTGCATAGCATTGCATTGTATTCCGCTGGGTTGCTTTCCGTTGCATGTGCAATTGCACGATTTCGTGATCCACATTGTATTGGTTAGCATCGCTCTACTTTGCTTTGATGTGCATTTCGTTGCATTGTTGTGCATTCGTGTTGCTAGTTTGTGCTTGTAATGCTTCGAGCTGCATTGGACCCCCATCTGGTTTGATTCGATGGCAATGCGTTGCACTGCGCTGCCGTGCTGGTTACTCTATTGCTTTCGCTGGTGTGCATAGCTTCGCACTGAATGGTCGGCAAATGTCGTTTCCGCGTTATAGGTGCATGATCCCCCATTGTCAAACCATTTGCGGGTAATGTCTTCAGTGGCAAAGGGACCTTGTGAAGGGCTGGGGCTGACTAGAACCAAAGCGCGCGCGAAGCGCCCGCGTGGTTCTAGTATCTATATACCTATGTACGGCGTACATTTCTCGGCATATAGCATACCATCAGCTTGTACACTATAGGGTGCGCCACGTCGATGTGTTCCACACAGATTGCAAAACAGTGGTTGCACAATATGTTGTGCACATAACATATTGCGCCACGTAAACAGCACCCATCTATTGCTTCACGTAGAGAGCGCCACATAGATCGCGCCACATGGATCGCGCACCATGGATTGCACAACGCATAACACATACACTTAGGTTACACCACATCGCCAACACGACATTCATAGTTCCACTTGATTTCGCATAGCTTAGAGTTTTCAGCCCATGCTGCACCACGCAGATGTCACAGCATGTATTGCTAGAAACACACTGGTTGGAGCCCACGCTTCTGAACATATCTACACTTGTATGTTTACACATCTACATACATCGATGTGTATATGTTTCTATAAATATATGTCCTGTCCCTCCTCCCTCCTCCTCCTCCTGTTGTAACTCCCTCACCCCTTGTCGGTTTCCCATGTCCCCCCTTTACCTCCCCCCACATCGGTTTTCGTTGCCCGTTCCCCCGCGAGGTGTTCAGCCCAACCCGATCGCAGTGGGCGCCCTACCTTGACACGCTGCCCAGGCCGATCGATTTGAGGATGTGGAGGAACATCCGCGGGAAGGACACGAGAGGGGAGGGCATGGGGGAGGGAGCGGAGGGGGGGGAGGAACAGAGCGATAAAGATGAAGCATGCGATGATCATGGCGATGGTGAGGATAAGAGGGGAGGGGGGAAGAGGAGGACGGGGAGACGGATGGAAGGAAGGGAGGCGAACGGCAGATCAGGAGGGGGAGGAGGGACACGGAGCGGATGATAGTGATGATGATTCGGATGTTCGTTCTGATGAATCGGATGCGGATGGGAGGATGAGGAGGAGGAGGATGAGGATTGAGGAGGTGTAGCAGATGATGGTGTTGATAATGTTGTGGGTTGATCGGGAGGAGGTGGTTGGATGAAGAGGAGGAGGGCGGTGATGATAATTATGAGGAGGAAGATGAGGGGTAGGAGGAGGAGGATGCAGGGTGTATCAAGTATTATCAGTATAGTGGCCTTGCAGTCCGTTGAGGTTATTGTATGGGAGATGGGGGATGAAACGGGCGGATGAAGAGGGATGACGTAACGAGGGAGGAGGAGCAGCAGCTTGAGGAGAGGCAGGGATCGGGTGAGAAGAGGAAGAGAGACCGTCAGCGAGAGAGAGAGAGAGTGAAAGGCGCGTTCGAAAGAGAGCGAGCGAGAAAGAGAGAGAGAGAGAGAGATAGCAAGAGACCATAACGATGTACCTATACGACCACCCTGCGGGTGATAAGGAGGTTGTGGGGGGGTGGGGGGAGGGGGGTGGCTCATGACGACAACTGTGATGAACGTGGCGGGACAATGATGAGCAACCATGATGAGCAACCGTGATGAGCAACCATGATGAGCAACCGGCGGGACAATGATGAGCAACCATAATGAGCAACCGGCGGGACAATGATGAGCAACCATAATGAGCAACCGGCGGGACAATGATGAGCAACCATGATGAGCAACCATGATAAGCAACCGGCGGGCAACCGACGTCACAATTCGGGCCACCGCTTGACAACACCGGGGGGGGAAACATTTGTGTTGGCGGACCCCTAGCGACAGCAGAGTGAATTCCTCTCGCTGGCCCACGCAGCTTCGCCTCGCACGCACGGCACGAGCACAAACTCGAAACTCGATTTCCCGGTGGGGGGACTCCGTTACACTGCGATCTCACCCCCGAACCTCCGAATTCAGATCCTTTCATAATCGGCCCCGGGGACGGTTTATTAGGTTACGCTTTCGAGGGTGGGGGGGCCGGATTATCAGGTTTCATTCCGCGAAGTTGAAGCACAGGGGTGCCGGTCTTATCAGGCACGTTTTGGGACACGGGCGGGGGGGTCGGCTGAATGTTGAATTATGTTCCCGTTTGGTTCACCATGCGACATGCTATGCAATCTTTCGAGTGAGTGGTTCAAGCTTTGCCTCCGCGGTGATACTGCCTCTACATGTGTGTGCTCTTGTCTGTCGCTGCGAAGAACAAACGGCACGATTAGAAGGAATACCCTGCAGCCTTTGGGCACCCGCGTTGGCAATAGGTTCAACATTTGAGTAACTGATTCGGCGAATATTTGTTTGGTATGGTTTTTTTTATGCATATCCAGCGTTGCCCAATTGCCCCTGTGTGACCATCATGGACCAACATTGCCCTGCATGGCCCAACTGCCTCTATCATAACGGACGGTCCACTTGCATCTACGGACATCAAGTTCCTCCGTCACCGTCGCACGCATTATGTTCAGCTGATCGCCGCTTTCATCATCACCGCTGTGATGCCCGTTGAACTTGCACGTGGTGCCAAGGATATCGCAATCAACTTGTGTGTTGCCATGATTGCCATCGTTGCCATGATTGCCATCGTTGCCATTGAGAGAGAACGATAATGAGAGAGGGCAGGAAAAAACAGCACGGCGGGAAGAGAGAGAAAGAGAGAGACATCCAAAGAGAGAGAGAGAGAGAAGGAGAAACCAGAGAGAGAGAGAGAGAGAGTGACTTAGCGAAATATCCAGAGAGAGAGAGAGAGAGAGACATGTCTAGACATGCATCGATTTAGTTCTACACGCATATATTTACATACGTGTGTATACATAAACATACATACACATGAGGTGCAACTATACAGAGAGAAATGGAGCAGGGTTATGCTGATGATGATGAGGGTTTGACGAGGGATCTGGGGTGCTGGATGCTGGGGAGGAGAAGGAGGGGGAGGAGAAGGAGGACGGGGAAGAGGGGAGGGATTGGAGAAGAGACGAGGATAGATGATGAGGAGGAGGACGAGGTCGAAAAGGACAGCGATAAATAATGATACGGTGATGGGGTGGAGAAGGAAGGGAGTTAGAAAGGAAGGGGATCTGATTAGGAGGGCGACTGAGGAGGGAGGGAGAGGGAGGCGAAGGAGGAGAAAAGGCAGAAGGAGGAGGACCATGGAGGATGCAGGGAGAGAATGATGAGGAGGCGGAGGATAATAATAATAATTGTGAATGGGATTGGGGCCAATTCCGAACTCATAAAACAAGCTCAACCTGCCTTTAAAACACTTGGTCCTGAGGCCCTTGATAACACGGTCAATAGGCTCGATGAGGAAGGTTCTACAAAAAGTTGGCCCGGCCACAAGGTCAACGAGCGGGGGATGCCGACTGGTCGTCCGCACGACCCCGTTCTGCTCTTGCTGCGGGCCCTACTACCATCGCAGTTGTGCAGTGATGCCCCCGCCAATTCTGCCCCGGGGGGAGGAGGAGGAGGAGGAGGCAGGACCAGGAGGGACGAGGAGGATGAGGGAGATGAGGAGGAAGGTGAGGGGAAGAATCAAGAGGGAAAGAAACACACAGACACAATTAATCGGCGATTCCCAGAAAAATATGGGAAAATATGGGAAGTGGGGGGGAAGACAAAAGCCCAGAAAATATGGGAACATACGGGGAATCTTTTTATTCGTGTGTATTTGTTTGTGTGTCCCAGGGCCCCTTCAAAGCAGGGGAGGAGGAGGCGTCGGGAGGAGAGAAGGGAGGCTACGGCCAGAAGCGTTGGCATCATTGACGGTTCGTGCGCAGCACGCTCCGTCGCGGGACGCTGAGCACGTCCCAGTCCCGAAGCATCGACGTTCTCGGCTCATCCACGGTCCCAGTCTTCACCACCCACCAAACCACCCCAACCCAACCCGAAGGGTCAGATTTACCCTCGATTTCTAGTGGGGGGGGGGTCCGGGAACATCGAAAAAACACGTATGGAGCCCATACCCCCCCCCAACCCGAAATTCGGGTCTTCGGGCTGGGTTGGGGTGGTCTGGTAGGTAGTCAAGTCTCACGACGCCGAGCGACATGTCGTGGATCAGTTTGAGAGACAGCGCGTCGGACGTGCCGCCGCCGTGACACGCTGACTCAAGACGCCTCGACCGCGCGAGGCGGGGGAGGTGGGAGAAGGAGCGTAGAGGGGGATCGTTCCAGGAAGCGCAGGCATTGGGGGAACTGCCAATGGCATTAACATGACAGCTCGGAGGTCCGCGCGGAGCTCTCGGATCGTCGCTCGACCCACCTCCCTGGCGCGCGGAGCGCGCCAGGGGCGGCGCTGGAGACGCCGCCAGGGAGCCCCGGCGCCGATCCGAGAAAGCCGCGCGGACCTCCGAGCTTTCTGTGCATGTCGTTCTTCGTTCCCCGTAGGCACGAATCCAGGCGCGCGGATGAGCGACTGGCCCCGTTCCCATACAGTCGGGCCGCTGAAGAAGGAGCCCTTTTCGCTTGGGAGGGGCTCCGTGTCCCTCGGTTGTTTTACCAGTGCTCCCTGGGTTTTCCTGAGGTTTCCCATGGGAGATCGGAGTCTAACTTATGGGAAAACGGGGCCTCGTTCCTTATTTGTCGTTCCTTAGGTCAACGCCCCGACTGTGCCGGATCCGCGCGCTCCGTCGCCGGGGCGGGCGGGCGGCGGCGACGCTTCTCGGGGGCGCCTTCTCCCCGATCGCGCCGCATCCACGGGCCCCTCGTCCGTGCTATGGCGCGTGCCCGAGGAATGGACAGATGGGCCGAGGGGTGTGATGACCGCACTGGGAGAACGAAACATGAGATAAGCATACAAACTCTGAGGTCCGCGCGGATTTCTTGGATCCGCGCTGGACCCCACTCCCTGGCGCGCTCCGCGCGCCAGGGGCGGCGCCGGAGGCGCCGCCAGAGGGGTCCAGCGCGGATCCGAGAAATTATGTCTTTATGCCATTTTTCGTTTCCCCATACACAGCCAAGCAGGGTGCGAAAGCGTATCGTGAGGGCCCCCCCCCAGAGTCGGCAGTCGTTTGCAGCGCGCTATGGACGAGTGGTGGAGGATGCGGAGGGCGAGGGCGAACACGAAAGAGCAGGAGAAAGAGAGAGCACCGGCAGGACGAGCAGCGTGAGGAGGGAAGCCCAAACACAGATACCATGAATCGTCGATCGCCAGGAAAATATGGGAAGTGGGGGGGGGACACGCACACCCAGGAGATACGGGGAAGTGGGGGGGGAGCGGGGGAAAAACATATGGGGAGATGTTGGGACTGCTGGGCTCTGTTTTTTTGTCTGTGTGTCACAGGGCCCCATTCAAGAGAGCGAGATGCGGCCCCCCCTCCTCCTCCTGCTCCTCTTCCTCCTCCTCCTCCTCCTCTCCCTCTTCCTCCTTCCTCCTCCTCCTCCTCCTGCTCCTCCTTCTTCCTCCTTCTACTTCTCCTCCTGCTCCTCCTCCTCCTCCTCCTCGTTCTCCTCCTCCGCCTCCTCCTCCTCCTCCTCCTCCTCCTCCTCCAGGAGGGGAGACGGCACACAGACAAAGAATCGTCGATGCCCTGGTGATTGTTCTCTTATTCATTGTTTCGCCGATCGGCGCGGGCCCTCGCCCCCCCCTCCCCCGCCCCATGGAGTAAATCTTGGCTGTTTTGGGCGCCTGTTTCAAGCAGGTGGACGGCTCCCCATCAGCTTCCCCATGGGAGCATTGTTCCGAACAGTCGCACTAAGCAGACATACAGAGCCAGACCCCCCTCTCCCCCCGCCTTCCGCCCAATGTCGGAACGCCGAATAAGAAAACATCCACCTGGAAGAGGTCGGACGACGTGGCAAGTGGGGGGGTGGGCAGACGAGTGTCAATAGAGTAAGGCGAACATGCTGGGAATCCAGGGAGTGGTGTCTACCTATCTGTGTGTCCCTGGGCCCCCTCTCCCCCTCTCTGCTCCCTTCCTGCCGCCCCCGGCCGAGCGGCAGCACGGAAGCAGCCGCCGGTGGCAACCCTCACGGGCGTTGCTCTTGACAGCGTCGGCCCAACCCGGTGGGAGAGGAGTTGGCTTTGCAGGGTTGGCCGGTACTGCTCAGAGACCGCCTCTGCGCACCAGCCCGCTGTCGAAACGTCGGACTGCCTCAGCCCGTTTGCCCGGATAATTATGGCAACCCAGGCGCCCTCGTCGTCGCGCCTGTCGTCGCAATGTCGTCCTCGTCGTTGACGTCATCGTCGTCGTCCTCGTCGTCGTCGTCCTCCTCGTCCTCGTCGACGCCGTCGCCTTCGCCCGTCCCCCCTACCCCGGGAGCGCCTCGCCGCACGTCGTCGTCCTCGTCGCCTGCGCCTTGCCCACCGCCGTGGCCGCGGTCCTCGCCGCCGACGTCGTCGCGCTCGGCGACGCCGGCGTCGACGACTGCGTCGTCGCCGTGTCGTCGTCGCCGTCGTCGTCGGCGGCGTCGTCGTCGTCGATCTCGTCGTCGCCGACGTCGTCGTCGTCGACGTCGGCGGCGTCGTCGTCGACGTCGTTTTTCTCGTCGTCGTCGTCGTCGCCGTCGGCGGCGTCGTCGTCGTCGATCTCGTCGGCGTCGTCGTCGTCGTCGTCGTCGATCTCGTCGACGTCGACGTCGTCGTCGTCGTCGGGGTCCTCGTCGACGCCGGCGAGCGGCCGGCGGACGCCTGCGGCCGGGCGCTGGCCAGCGCGGCGCCCGCGCCGGCCGCCGCGCCGCCCGGCCGCCCGCCAGGGAGTTCCCCACCGTGCCGCTGTGGTACTCGGCGCGCCGCCCGGCGCCCGTGGGGGTGTTGCTAGAGGTGCTCCTCCTTCTCCTCCCCCTCCTCCTCCTCCTTCTCCTCCTCCTCCTCCTCCTCCTCCTCCTCCTCCTCCTCGTCCTCCCCTGACCCCGCTTCATCAGCTCGGCCGCCAAGGTCGAGGGTTGCCAGAGGTGCCCCTGGCCCAAGGTGCCCCCGGGATTCCCAAGGAGGCCCCCACGGCCTCCAAAGCCCCCCATCACGAGGCACAGAGGGCCCCAGGGGCTCCAGAATGGAGCGGGAAGCTGGGGGCACCTTGGGCCAGGGGCACTTCTAGCAACACCCGAACCGTGGGGTTGCCGCCGCCCGCTGCGGCCGCCGCTCGGAGGGAAGGGTCACCGAGGTATGTACCCAGACCCCCTCGAGCTGTGAAGGGATCACGACGGAAGGTGTTTCCTCATTTTCGGCCTGCGGGGGCCCCTACCGCGCCCCGGGACCGTCAAAACACGACTCAGGACGGAGCACAGGTCCAGGGGAACGGGTCGAGATTTGTGAGGGTCGAAGCTATGAAGAAAATCATGACGTCGAGGGTCTGGGAGGGGCAACCGAAATAAGTATTCAGTTTTGCTCCCCCCCCCGCCCCCCTGTTTCTCTCCTCCTGCTCCTCCTCCTCCTCCTCCTCCTCCTCCTCCTCCTCCTCCTCCTCCTCCTACTCGTGATTCTGGGCCTCCTGTATGGGGTCGGAGTAGATGGTGTCGGAGGATCGCGCCGCATCGCCGATGCATCGGCGATGCGGCTCGATGCGGAGCCCGATTTTCTTCACACCGACGTCGCCTATTCATCGCCAATGCATCCCCGATGCATCGCCGATACATCACCGATGTATCGTCGATGCGGCGCGATCCTCCGACCTCATCTACTCCGATCACGATCCCATCTAGGAGGCCTCTAGTGATCGTAGTCCGCGTCGTCATCGTCGTCGTTGTCATTGTTGTTGTGCGGCGGGTCTCGCGGAGAAATAATCATTGGTCCACTTTTGGTGGGACGCCAGTCCGTCAACAGGGGCGTCGAATTGATAATTAGTTTCCACCATTCGGGACAGGCTCTCTAACTTACGTCGGTTACCCATTGAGGGAAGAAACGCTGGGCCCATGACCAAGATCAAGGGCGCCATGTGATTCGCGCTTCGCGCAGCGCGAATCACGAAATATAGGCGCCCTTGAAGATTTCGAGGAGGACATGTGCCCATACCGCTACCATTCCCTCGTTTCCCCCGGTTAGCCCTCGTCGCCGCTGCTGCTGGATTCGCCTCGAATTTCTGATCAGAACGCATGCCGGGAGAAGTCCGTTGAGTAGCGGTATCGGTACGCATTGGTTTCCCCACCATCGAGGGAAGACACACGGGGACCACGACTGAGATGCCGCTGGATTTTGCCGACGCCGATATTGGTCATGGTCCATGTCGACCGTGGCCAACTCCTGGGATTATCCACGAATGGACGCTGGCCAATATCGACGCTGACCGAGATGAGCACAGCAGTTCTACGTTCAGCCCTGGTCGTGGCCCCCGTCTTTGTCCCCTCCGGCCCATGCCGCTACCCCGCCCCTCGGTCTCGCCTGTCTGGGTCTCTCGGCGACCCTCGCCGCCACCGCTGGATTCGCCTCGAAATTGTGGTCAGAGCGCTCCCCGGGAGCGGTCCGGGGCGTAGCGGTATGGGTACACCTTAGGCGATGCTTAAGAAAACTTAAGGTTTCGGCCAGAGTCTCGATTATTCTTATTGTTTCAATGTGAATCCTAACATTTCGATCGAAATTTTGGGTTTGATTCAAATTCTGAGACTCTGAATTTCTCAACCCATGATTTCTTAAGCATTTCGCAGGGTGTACGTCGTCGTCGCGGTTTTGGCCGCCCTCTTCGGCGCCACGACGGCCCGAGGTTTCGTCGGTTTGCAGAGGCTGCCCGGCCTCGGGGTGCCCTTCAGAAGGGCTGCGCCTCGTCGAGCGCGCTCTGGGAGGGCCCGAGTCGTCCCGAACGCCCGCCACAGGTCGGAGCTACGGCTCGAACGCCACCGCCAGTAGGAGGATAAGGAGGAGGAGGAGGAGGAGGAGGAGGAGGAGGAGGAGGAGGAGGAGGAGGAGGAGGAGGAGGAGTGGGAGGAGTGGGAGGAGATACTGCTGACGGACTGCCGTGCCGTCCTCTTGCTTCATCTTTTGCCGTTGTCCCACTTAGTGCATGGGGAAGAGGATGCGGCTGGGGGATTATTTGTCGAGTATTCTTGTGCGTCGGCAGTCCTCACTTAGTTCCCGACCGAAGATACCTGTGTGCTCATTCTTGGGAGAGGGTTCTCAAAACGACCTATTGGGGCCCTGGGGAAGGAGACCAGGGCGAGGAGGACGGGGGATGTGGAGGATGGGCGAGGAGGAGCAGTGAGGAATAGATGTTGGTAGGTAGGAGGGGCCATAGGATGGTGGTTAAGGGGGTTGATGCAGATCCGGGCAACTGGGCGACGGTGATGTCGAGGAGCGCGTGCGGGCGCTGGGAGGCGGCGGGAACTCCTGCGCAGCACGGGAAGACACACGTCTAGTTGCGCTGCCACGCGATTCCGCCACCGCGCTCGGACCGGGGGAAGAGGAGGAGTAGGAGGAGGAGGAGGAGGAGGAGGAGCAGGAGCAGGAGCAGGAGCAGGAGCAGGAGCAGCAGGAAGAGCAGGAGGAGGAGGAGGAAGAGGAGGAGGAGGAGGAAGAGGAGGAGGAGGAGGAATAGGAGGACAAGGAGGAGGAGGACAAGGAGGAGGAGGGGGGAGGGTCTATGGACAACACCCTCCCCAGGCGATGTATTTGTGACGATGTTCTGCCTTGAAGAGGGCAAGAAACGGGGCGCCTCGGACCTTAGGGGGGTCCGGTGGGGGGGAGGGGGGGTGTCCCGGGGCCTCCCCCCCATCCTCCTCAGGCGATGTATTTGTAACGATACTTTGCCTGGGAAGGGGCAACACAAAAACGCAGGGACGTGGCCGCAGCAAGGAGCGCATCTCTCGGGCTTTTCGCTCCGGGTGGGCATATAGAAGCTTTGCCCCGCAGCAAGAGAGGGGCCCGACGTACACCAGCTGGTGCACGCACGTGGTCGGATCCTGGAGGGTTGCCCAGGGGGTGTCGTCCAGATCCACGAGAGGTTGTCGGGCACGGGTCGACGACGACACAGGTGAACCAGGACACGGAAAACCAGGGAAACGACACCTTTTTCTGCAAAGTCCGATTTTGTTCAGCACCCGTGCATTTCTGTTTGCTGCGCTGCAGGCTTCGGCCTTGTGTCAGGGTTCATGGGGGTCTTGCATGCTTTCGGGGCCTCTGTCCGGGTTGGTTCTGGAAGTGTTGTCATGCAGGGTTGGACCTAAACGGTGTTTTGGCGATTTCGTGGGCCGTTTTCGTTTCGACTTCGTTTTGGGCAGAGGCGGGTTGAAGACAAAACGAGGGAAAACGAAAACACAACGAAAACGAAAAACCGTTTAGGTTCAGCCCTGTTGTTCTGCAGTCTTTCGTTCGTGCCGCCGTCTGGAAAAATGCGTCTCAAGGGATGTCGGGTGTCTGGGTCGAGCGCGTCTGGGCTTACAGAGCCCTGCAAGAGTGTCCGCGCGCTCTGCGCGCAGAATCTCGCGGCTGGCCAGGCCAGCGCGCTAAAGGCCGTTGAGCGATGTGCGTGTTGCAATGCATTGCCCGAACATCCGAGTTGGTTTTGCTCCTTCTCTTCCTCCTCCGTCTCGATGGGCCGGTTCGATAGCCCCCTCCCTTCGTATCCCCCCTTCGTCCGAAAGGATAGAGGAAGAGAGAAGGAGAGAGAGAGAGAGAGAGAGAGAGAGAGAGCGAGCGAGCTGGGAGCGGTAGGATGCGGCAGGAGCGAAGGACGGAGGTCAGGTCAGCAAGAGGACCGCGACGACAGGGAAGTTCCTCCGCCTCCTCTCCTCCTCTCCCTCCTCGCCGCCCTGGAGGCGGCCTCGCGGCGGGGGCCCTCGGCGGCCGCGCCGCCGCGCGCCCGAGGCGGAGGAGCTGCGGCTGCTGCGCGGCACCTCGGTGGACGCGCTGCTGGCGGGCAGGCGCGCCGGCCCTGGCCGCGGGCCCGGGCCGCCGGGGGGGGGGGGGGGCGGGCCCTCGGTCTCGTCGGGGGGGACGGGCCCTCGGCGCCGCCCAAGGCGCCGCCCAAGGCGCCGCGTCGGCCTCCTCGCCAGCGCGGCAAGAGGGCCCGCGCCCCGGCCCCGCGAGACGCCGCCGCCCGTCGGGCGGGCCCCGGCCCCGCCCGGCGGGTTCGGGTTTGTCCGGGGCGGCAAAGAGGGGGGTGATGACTAGGGGGGGGGGTGGACATCACGGCGTGGGCCATGATCTTACCCCAGATTTCATGGCGCCTCTTCTTCTTTCATGACGTCCCTGGCCCCCCCCCGCTGGGCCGCGCACGTGCCGCCGGTCATGATTTGCACCCCCCTCTCTTGGACACCCCCCTCTTGGCCGCTCCCGATCTCGGAGGGGGGGGAGAGTACCCAGATCTCGGTATCGTTTCACCAATCCCCATCCCCAGCCTCGGCACGACCGGCATGGGTACGGAGAGAATGGCCACGATGCCCAACAGCAGTTCTGGCTCATCTTGAGCAGGACTCGCTGGCTGCGCCGCCGCGGCCTGTGTCCATTCGAGACAGAAGGCCGCCTGCCCAACAGCGGCCGCCGTCGGTTTGGGACAACACTTGTTGGGCATTGTGCCCATTTTTCCGTACCCATTTCGGGCGTCCAAACCAGACTTCGGTATCGTGCAACCAATCCCCATCCTCGGAAATTGGAGCACATACATTACCGGTGGCTGGCGGTTTTTCAATCCCAGGACTTCTTTGGGGGGTCGGGGGCGACGTCAGGGTGGGGTGGCGTATACTGTTTGTACCATTTCCCAATGGGAACAACAAAAAAAAACACCAGGATCCCGTATACACCAGGATCCGTGTTCCTGTGCGCATTTCAGTGCGGGGCCGGAAAAAGCGTCGCTGTAGAGCATCGTTTAACCATTCCCCATCCCCATCCCCTTCGAAACCCCCACCAAATTGCCCCCCCCCCCCCCCCAGTTGGGGATGCACCCCTTCTAAGACTGAAGGGAACGACCTATGTCCCCACCTAGGGGGGTAGATCGGCTAGTGGGGCCCGGGCCACGCCGCCAGGGATGGGGATCGGTTACATGGTACTCACATACCTCGGGAGCCTTGAGACGGGGGTCAGTGCAAACGGGGGTCAGCCAGGGCGCCCGATCTTGCAGGATCCTGCAGGGCCAGGGTCGCATTCACTCGGGCTTGGGCGCAGGATCCTGCAGGACCTTGCAGGATCCTTCGCACTGGCCCAGGTCTGGGCGCAGGAGTTTGCACGGTTTTGCAAGGCCTGGTGCACCCAGGTCTGGATTGGCCCAGGTAAGAAGATCCCCGAATGAAGCTACCTTTACACTCATGTCGTTACTCATGTCGTCTGTTAAGAAATTCGGGGGCGAAAGCTGGGTTTCGCACCGGGGTTAAGAAATTCACCGAAGCTGGGTCTCAATTTCTTAACAAATAATTTCTTAACACAAGTTATGAGTGTACATGGTTTTCGCCTTCTCGGGCCTCCTGGGAGGGCCTCGTCGCCACCACCGCCCTCGCCTCGAACGTCTGGGCAGGACGCCCCCCGGGGGAGGTTCGGGGAGGAGCGGTATCGGTACCCGTTGGTTTTTTCTCACGGGGGCTCTGGCGGTCGTCGGTCGTCGATCGCCCGGCCCGTGGTCGGTCTGCGGTCGTCGGTCGCCAGGAGGGAGAGAAGGACGCACACGCACATGCATCCGCGCCGGTTTCGAATACGTGCGCGGTGCGCGAGCGCTCGTATCTCCAGGCCTCCCGTATGGGGCCCGAGCAGATGGGGTCGGGGGATCGCGCTGCATCGCCGATGCATCGTCGATGCGGCTCGATGTGGCGCCAGATCTTCCCCGCGCCGATCGCGGATGCGTGGCCGACGCATCGCCGATGCATCGCCGGCGTGTTGGCGATGCGACGCGCGCCACATGGCCCCCGGGAAGGGTCCGGGGGCCGCTCTTCAGCCGATTTGGCCTCATCCCCCATCCTGACCGATGTTTTGTTTTCCCAGCCGATTCGGACACCCCGGCGGCCTCCAAGGTCGGTCCATCCGTCGGTCGGTTGGTCGCTTGTCGTTGCGCTCACATCGTCGTCGTTGTCGTCGTCGCGCGTTCCTCGTCCCTGTCGTCACAGTTGTCGATCTGCCGCTGCCCCCGTGCTCTCGGAAACCAAGGCGAAGCGATCCGATTTATTAGATCAGGCGGCAACAAGGTATGCGAAGCCAGCGCAGAAGTGAAAGAGGTCCTCTCTCCCTCGTGCTCGTCCTCATCTTTCTCTTCGTCCTCCTCTCCCTTCGGTTCACTGTAGTAGCTCCCTCCTTCCCGCTCGTCCTCGCCTCCTCGTCCTCGCATCCCGCACATCCTCGTGCTCCCCCCGTGCGGTTGGTCCTTGCCTCTCGCCTGTCGTCGAGCCTCGCTGCCCCCTCCTCGCCCTTCGGGGGGCGAGGAGACGGAGAAGGCGGACGGTCCAGATTTTGTAATTTAAAGGCTGCCGCCTCTGCCGCCGACCCCAAATCAGGCCTCGTGTTTTCTTTGGTTTCAGGTGGTCCCCGCGAGCTTTCCTGCAACAGGGGGTAGTGTTCATATGGAGTATGGGTAGGCCAGGGCAATGCGCGCGTGTGTTTGGGCGTGTTTTTGTCTTCTCTTTCTCTCGCTCTCTTCCTCTCTCCTTTGTGTCTTCTGCGGTTGTCTTCGAATCTTTTGCGGGAGTTTTGGGTCCATCTGGGGCGTCTTGAGTCAATAATTGTTTCTTTCGGGGCCGTTTTGGCCCGACGTGGGCGCTGTCTTGGGGTCGTCGTCGTGGCCCCTTTTGGGGCTATCTAGGTTCACGAGGGCAGCCCTGAGAGATTCGAGAATTCAGAGTCCTGGTCGCTTCAAGACTCCTGTGGATGAGGACTGAGGCATTCGGCCCCAGGACACGCCCACTCCGTGCCCGAGGCACGGTGGCGGATTCCGATCCACTCTGAGGGACTTACATTCACCATTGCCTTGGGCCCAGCGGGGAAGGAGGAGGAGGAAGAATACGAGGATGAGCCGGAGGAAGAGGAGCAAGGAGAGGTGGAGGAGAGGAGGAGGAGGAGGAGGAGGAGGCGGAGCAAGAGGGGGAGGAGGGGGGGAATGAGACGCAGGAGGAGATGCGCCGTTGCCGCGCCCGTGCCTGCGCGCCCACGGCGGGCTCGAGTCCTCCCCTTTGGGGACTGGGGGTTGGCGTGTCAGGGTTATCCGCACACCTGGGAGCCTCATCGGAGGATCGCGTGGAACCCTTCTTCACGGGCCGAGTTGGAGGGGGAGGGGGGGGGGGAACGATGGGGACACGGACAGAAGGCTCTGGTTCATGGGTTATGGGTGAGAGATTTCTTGTATGTGTATCGGGATCTCGCGGCACGCCTCTCGGGGGACCGTTGAATGCAGTTTTCAAGCAACTTGGGGGCCGTTTCGGAGCCTCTGGGAGGTTTCCTTGGTTGTTACTTGGGGCGTCTCGGGGGCCTCTTGGGGGTCTCTGGCGGCCTCCTGGGGCACTCTTGGGTTTCCCTGCGGCTCCTGGGGGCGGAAAGCTTGAGTTTGTCATTGTTCGGTCGGCCTCTTGGGCCTGTGCGGGTGCTGTCTTGGAGTCCTCTTGGGCCGTCTTGGGGACCTGTTCGGCCGTCTTGGGGCCATCTTGGGACGTCTTGGGCAGCTACGAGGAAAAACAAAGGCGCGCTTCTTCCAAATGGGGGCGCAATAGCGCCCTGGAGGGCTTCGAAACCCTGAATGTGAACATTTGGTTCGAGGACTTGTACCTCAGCGTAAGTATGAACTTCGACTGTTGCGGAGAGTCTTCGTCCGCATCGTCATCGAGGAAAGCATCCTTCCCTACATCTTTCCTCCTCCTCCTCCTCCGTCTCCTCCTCCCTCTTCTCCTCCTCCTCCTCCACCATCTCCTCTCCCCACTTCTCTCTCCTCAGTTGGCCAGCTATGCCGCCCTGGAGGTCTCCGAAGGCCCCCGCACGTCGCGGGAAGTCCCCGGAGGCCTCTGGAGGCCGTCGCTAGAAAACCTCCCCCTCGACGTCGCATTTTTTCGCGATGCGGGACCTTAGATGTCACGAGAACTCCCCAGGGCCGATTTGTCATCCTCAGACGTTTTTTGAAGATCCCAGGGCCGGGAAACGGTTTCCAGAGACTGAAATGTGGATTCAAAACGTGGACCTCCCCCATTGCGATCGCGCCTCGCATCTCCCTCCTCGTGCCTTCGGCGCAGACGGCGGCAGTGGCAGCGTGGGCTCAGGGTCCCTGCCCGCCAGCTGGCCTTCCGGTAGCGGTCGGGGCCCGCCGGGGGCGATGCCTTCGCAGGACGGGGACGGGGACTCCGGTGCGCGCGCGCCCAGAAGGCCCCAGTGGGCGTGCCCGCATGCGTCCCGCACATCCATGTCGGCACGCCCCCCGCGCGTTTCGTGACCCCTCACACGTTTCGTGGTCCCATAGGGAGCTCCACCGAAGGCCCAATGGGTGCGCCCGCATGCGTCCCGCGCGCCCATTTCGGCACACCCCTCGCACGTTTCGTGGCCCCGTAGAGGGGCTCCACCGACGGTCCCAGCGCTGCCGCCCGCATGCGTCCCGCATACCCATTTCGGCGCACCCCTTTTCACACGTTTCGTGGCCCCAAAGGGAGCTTCGCCGAAGGCCCCAGTGGGTGTGCCCGCATGCGTCCCGCGCAGTCGTTTCGGCACACCCCTCGCGCGTTTCGTGACCCCTCGCACGTTTTGTGGTCGCATACGGAGCTCCACCGAAGGCCCCAGTGGGTGTGCCCGCATGCGTCCCGCACGCCCATTTCGGCACACCCCTCGTACGTTTCGCGGCCCCATAGGGGGCTCCACCGAAGAAGATATTCACAACTGCGGTACTCACAATTGCATATGGGGGGGCGAGGAGACGGAAAAGGCGGACGGTCCAGATTTTGCAATATAGGGAGGGGGGTCTCACTTCGGG